AGATGGCCTGGATCAGTTTAAAACAGTCCAAAATGGCGTAGCATTGTTTGAGCAGCCGAGAATGGTCTGGAATGGCTTAGGATGGGCTAGAACAGTCCAGAGTGGTCTAAAACGACCTAGATGGCCCAACTGGAATGGTATACGTTTGGTTTACAACCATCAAGAGTTTGGTCTAGAATTGGTTAACCGACACGTGAGACCATTCAAAATGGTGTAAGCTTTCTGTTGCACCCTTCCCATGGTTTCAAACATGTTTTCGACCATGTGAATGGTTCAACCGAGTCATTAAACCATTGACATGGTGTAGTCCCTAAACAATAAACCAAACCATTTCTTTATTTGCCTCAACAACTGTTAGAGACATAAACAACAACATTCCATCCGGGATGGTTTGAAAGAATTGCCGGTGGAACCAGTGCCATAAAGAAAAACTCCATGCATAAAATGCCCGTTTCTCATGAGTTCAATGCCCGAAAGGTCCCGGAAGGCAAACAAACTGTTGGAATGTCACTTGGGAGAATAACAAAAATTAAGGGTGAATGTGTGGAAAATAAGAAATTCGCAACTTTTGCCCCAAAGAACATGCAACATCGGATCTTTTTAGGTTTGGAGTCGGTAGCGGGGTTCTTGAGGTTTGGGTTTGCACTTTTGTAGATCTTCTTTGGGGTGCCAGTTCCCGGACCAAGCGTCCTCCAGTTTTGAGATATACTTTCGCGTTCATACCTTCCTGAAACCTTCCCGTGTGACTCCGGAAATATGTCTGTGTAGAGTGATTGTGCAGTTGCGTTTTTGTACATACTTCGTCACTTCGTGATCTCATTTCATAAAGAAGTGGACGATCGTTCCGAATGAAACCAAACATGCGCATTCCTGGGCCCATGATGGTACCGGAATGGAGCCGTTGATTCCATGCAAGTAGTGTTTATGCTTACCGTTTTTTTTGCTTTAGCGATTCCGATTTGTGATGTTCAGCGCTATTGTTGCTGTTATTGACACCGTCTATGTCAATTATTGAAACCGTCTATGTCAATGTTCTGAGAATTTCCGTTTTAAAATTATGCACCAGATTTACCTAGGTTCAAAAGCCACGTAAAATTTTTGTTCAAACAAAGAACAATCAAGGTTTCTTAGCCCAGCAAAACTGATTTTTTTCCCATGGCGTGGTGAACAATCCTTGATTAAACAAATCATCGACGGCCCACACAATAAGGAAAATTGACTATCAAACTGGTACCACAACTGGAATAAAACATGTTGAAATTCTGGCAACTCTTGGGTCCCCGTGACGTTCTGCAATTGCAAAACTACCAGGGGTAGCTATGAGCAATTCATACACTTTTATACATTTTATTGGTTCGGGATTAGAAGGCATATCCCTTTTGGAACACACCCGCGTTTGGCATGTACACCATAAGCTGATCCCACACAGGCTTGAACCCCCGTGGCAGGTCTCCAGTGGTTGACCTCTTTGAACGTATATTGAAACAGTAACAATGTCTATATTTGTTCCTTATTTTTTGGATGCGCAACGGAATGAGTAAGCGCTAGCTGCAAAAAGTGGTGTGGACGCAACGTTGTTGGCTGATATGTACGTGTGGATTGCGAATTTGGATTTGCCAAAAAGTATTGGGTATGTGGAGTGGAATATGCTTTTGGGAAATTTGCAATGCAACTTGATGAAGTCTTTCATCAAAAAATCTGCAAATCACCAATTCCATATTCCAACCAAGGGGGATTCCTACCAAACAAATGCAAGAGGGCGAGGCGGCCGTGTGCTAACCCCCGACTTTGTTGTTCGGCGCTGCAGACCGTTATTGCAAAGGGCACTATTTGGTAGCAAAGCGTGGTTTCGACTTCGGAGGTGGGCAAGGGATTTTGCTGGATTGAAGTCTTGCAGTTGACACCCTTCTTTTTGCCAGGGTGGGAAAAAGTGTGATGATGGTAGACATTTTGATGGTTTGTTTGGCTTTGGGCTGTGGCTCTTCAAAAACGAAGGTGGTGGCAACACCAGCGGAGCCTTCGGCCCAGATGCGCGCACCCACCAACAATATTTTTTTGAATGCATTGGCCGGAACCATTGGCACAAATATCGACCAACTGGAACATCGGGTGCGAGTGGATTCAAACGCAATTGGTCCAAACTCATCATTTTTTTGGAACAAATTTTAAGACAATATTCGCATCACTACATCACCTTGTTGGTCGGGAAAACGAAGTGTGCAACGTGCACAGTAAAGGCAAGTGGAATCAATTTTGGGTAAAAACATTTCGCGTTTGCCATTCCAAACCGCAGGTCGCGATGTGCGAATGCTTGCACCCCCGAAAGTTACAATTTTGCAGGCAAAATCGCATTAAGCCGGCGCCATTGAACAAACACAACTGAAAACCAAACCGCAATTTTTTCTCATATCTCTGGTGCCAATCGTTCGTTTCACCCAACGATCTTCATCAATCCTTGTGCCAGATCCACCAACCCCAAAGGGAGGAGCAAGAGCATTGTTGGAGCCTGAGGCGACGACCACTGCATCAAAGGCGGCAGGTCTCGCTGCATCAAAGGCAGCAAGTCTCGCAACATCGAAGGCTGCAAGCTCCGGTCACCCGGAAGCCTCCTGGAGTTGGAATCGTGATCACTATGGTGCCCGCCGTGGATGGAGTTTCTGGCGTGGAGCGTGGTATTACCGCGATGAGGCCGGCGGCCGATGGATTTACTGGAACCGCTAGGTAGCAATGATCTTTGTAGCTTTTGTGCAAGATGTGGCATCGTAATTTGCCTTCCCTTGCTTTGCTGCGATTGGTTTTACGGGCTTGAGCTTTTTAGAGGGACCTTTGAAAGACTGCATAAAAAAACTCCCAAAAGCCAAATAAAACACAATGCGGCTACCCGTAAGGGTATGCCCACACGGCTATTCGTCTCCGCAGTCGTCCCTGCTCGCCCGATGGGGGTGTAAAAATTCCTGCAGTAAAACCACATGTATCATATACATCATTGCGACTACCTATGCAGCGTTGGTTCAAAAGGACTGAGTGCTAGCGGTTATGGTGTTGTATTGTGATTTAACCCCACTGTCGGCTGACCTGGGAATATACATATCGTTTTTCCATTACAAGCGCTACGTTTTCAATTTTACATATTCTAACTGCTGACAGCTCACTATGTCAGTATTCACCTTTTCATAGTTGCCAAGAGTTAGCAACCAATGTAGGGTTTCTTCCATCCATCGCTCGCATTGAATTACAATCATGCTGGTGCATCCTATTCGGAATGAAACTCACTGTTTCCGGGACGCGGGTGTGACCGACAATTTCATGAAATATATGCAACCAAGAAATAATGTTGTCGCGCTGCTTCTTGGGCAAGAACATTTCAGAAAAGTACGGCGAATTGGAAATTCGACCATCGATGCCACAGGTTCACTTTAGCATCGCTGTGCGTGGATACGGTCAAAATTTAGCTCCGTGAAAATTCCATACACGAACACTCGCGTGGAATGGATAGTTATAGTTGCTATCAGGACAATCAGGGAAGTAGAACGCATAAACATTCCAGAGTTTTCATTGCAGAATTCGATCCCACAAAAAAACATCAAAACCAGCGGCGCATGGTTTTCAACATGTTTCAGGCAGAATCTTGCCCAGACAGGCTTGCACAGTACAGACATTGATGGCAAATGTGCAGCCGACATGAAACATGCGTGCGAGAATTTTGGCAGCCGTTGGAAAGCAGGTGGGCGCGGGCCGTTGTTTTTCCCGTACAACGACGTGAAATATTAATGTAACAGTTGGAACTGGGACGGTTGTATGAACAGAATTTAATTTCAAATTGAACGTGCTTAAAGTTCGACATTTTCAATTCAAACCACAAAACATTTGTAAGCTTGTTTGATGTACTTGAGGGATCTTGAGGGACTGTCATTGTTTTTGGCACGGCGGTGGAGCGCATGTTTGGGCACGTGTTTTTGTAGACTACTCGCTGCCACATTGACAAATTGTCAAATCTATCTTCCAGCTAAAAACGTTGACGCAACACATCCAAATAATTATATATCACCTCTCAAGAGGGTCCCTGTCAACTTTCATTTTCTATTGTTGATGGGTGGAGGCTATGCTTAAAGTGGTTCCAAGTGTTTCCTGCGATGTTTGGCAGAGTCTGGCATTTCTCAACAGGCAGCTCTTGGAAAATCCCTTGCCAAACGCCACGTTTGCACCTCAGGGCAGAACCTCATATGATCAGTGTGGTCTTAATGAAAACCAAGTGTGAAATAGATTGGAGGAGAATTGGGCGTTCAATGTGTTTCCCGCCGATATAGTTATATCATCGTCATCATCGTCATCATCATCATCATCATCACCATCATCATCATCATTCCTATTTACTTTGCCATGTGGGCGTATACACGAATCAATTTCAAATGAATGCTAAAATCAGAAGGTGCAATGCTTGGAGGCAAGGGCGGGAAACCCTGACGTATGCAGTTGTGAACATCTGTTCACTAAAAAAGAATATTTATATTTGCAACCTCTTGGCGTGTTTATTTAGCGTCATTTCAGCCTTGTCGACTTTCTGCTTGCGGTCGATTTTCATGGAAACCTGTTGGCAGAGCAAACGCAGGAAAGCGCCTTTTGTCGTTTCACATCTGAGCCACTATTGCAGTCAGTTCCTGTGCGTGTCATCCTTGTGCAGTGGCCATGTAAATCGGTCATGCACTGACGGGAAATCTTTTACACCCCGCCTCAGATTTGCTTTGAGGACGGAAAAGAAAATCTGTACACCACGCCAATGTTCAACGATGCCTATGGGGGAAATATTCCTGATTCACAAACCATTGTTCACAGAAGCTACCCCAGGTTTCTTGGTATTTCTTGTGGATAACTATGTCATTGAACACTGCGTATTCATATTGGTCCTGTCTATCCCACCATAAGGGAAAATCATATGTCAGGTCGGGATAGGTCGGGTTGACCCGGGAACAACACCATCAGGTGGCAGAGGACAAACTCCATCAGCTTTTGCTGGGAGAAAAGCTCCATCTCACAAGCTTCTCTGCTCGGTGTCGTTGTCCCCGTGGAAAGTGCGCAAGCAACGCACTCAGGTCATCCTCATTCAACCCAATCATAGGAAGATCTGGTAGATCGCTGCTTTTCTCGCTTCGAGGCGATCCAGGGAGACTGATGTGCTCGGGTGCTTCTTCTGGAGGTTCTTGTCTCTGGGGAGCTGGTACTGGAGCCACTGGTCGCGGAGCAACTGTTGGTAGTTGAGCAACTTGGAAGATGGGGTTGCTCGTCATAGAGATCTCAGTCTGCACCTCAGCGTCGATCTCCGCGGCTTCGGACTCCTCATTCTCACTGGGTTCCTCCAATTGCATTGCCTCCAGCGGATCCAATTCTTCCACGCCAAGTCTGATCCTGGCCTGGTAGTGCGGTCGCGCATACCGAGCCAATCCATTTTCTGTTTCTCGGAAGTATTCTTCTCCTGAGTCAGCGTCTTGGGGTCGTTCATGGATCCTGTATTGTCGAAGTTCTTGGTTGATTGGATCCCAATCGTCCACAACCAATGGACGTCGATGTAGGCGTTGGATCTCACGCCGGGCCCATTCAATGATTCGCCTCACTCGCTCATTGTAGACGAACTTGTTGAAATAGTATCCAGCCACAAAGCCAATGAAGACAAAGAGCACCGCATAGGCCACCAGGAAGAGCGGGTAGACGTTGAAGACCTCGTAGTATGTGCTCCTCGCTTCGATCAGCTTCACCTCCGCATTCTGCATCTCGAATCCTGCCACCACAGGCTGCATCGCCATCAATGTAACCAGCTTCACAAAGTTGGTCGAGATAGGGAGGCTTCCACCTTCCGGGCTGTCCATCAACGTGTTGAGCATCACCCGCTTCACCGCCTTCATGTTCTTTGCCATTGTCCTTCGCCGAAGCTCCTCCGCGAATTCCCATTCGCCAACAGCCACAATACGAATCGCTTGATTCGTCATACTGCACCATGCCCATGAGGTACATCAGAAATGCTCGCCTCACCTTCGTCAATCTCTTTGTACCAATGTCAGCCACATTGAGAAGTGTAGGAACTCCTTCCATCGCCATGGCTCCTTCTTTGAGTCTTTGTTGTACCCAAAGAAATTTCGCATCGATGTGCTTCAGCCTTCCGACTCCTTGTCGTTGGGAAAATGCTCGGCAGCTGCTTGAGTCAGTGATCGTGTTCACAGCCACCTCCTTTCTTGTCAGAAACCTCCATAGTCTTCCAACGTATAAACCTTCTGCAGCACCACCAACTGCAGAAAGATATTCGCTTTCGCATGAGCTGAGGGCTATCGATCGTTGGGATCGTGACCACGAAGTAACCGGTCGGCCATTCAAGAAAATCATCGCAGATGAAACCGAATGTCTCCTCCTTGTGGTAGAACTTGATTGGTCGCCAGCCCAATCAGAGTCTGTGAAGACCTCCACCTTCTCGCACGCATCTTCGTCCCCATCTCGTCCATGAATTGCGTCCAGCTTGCTGCCATTGACCTTGTAGGGACGCAACATAGCGTAGGATTTCGTGCCAGCCAAATAAAGGATCACATGCCGAACTCCAGCTTTTGCAAGTCGAGTGGGTTTCGCCATCCACTGAGCTAGATGGCGGACACTGTGTTGAATGTCCCACCGATCAGCTGAAAGGTACAAAAGCGTACCCATGGCGGAACGGAATCTGTGAGCTTCTTGCGGATCCAGTTCTTCGTCACTGCCTGACCATTGAGCCATGTCAGGTGTAGGTTTTGGCTTGTAGCCACCCAAATGTAGAGGGACACCAATTCCTCCACGTACTTCTCGTGTGCCGCCACGATGACTCCATGCTGGGTGAAATAGTGGCGCTTCTTGAGGAAGCGCGCTGCATCCTGAGGATTCTGGTCTGGCGCTGGGAGTACTTCGCCGCCAGAAACTGTAAAACGTTTGTTCACTTCCTCCATGAGCCAAAGAAGGTCGGGTTTCTCTCCACACAGGATCAGGTCGTCCACGTGTGAACACAACACCACCTGTTTGGTGCGATGTCTGAAAAGACTTGGTAACAGGGGCGTGTTCTCAAACTCCAGGGCCTCCAAGTGTTGAGCCAAAAAGTCGAAAAACCGAGCTGCACCATTTCGCTGTCCAGGAAGTACACGATCCAAAACCCAAAAACATTCAACTCCAGGAACTTGTTCTTCAGGCTTCCACCACGTAGGAACGCTCACCAGGACACACTCACGTTGAGGCACCAAAAGGAAAGCATCCTTGATGTCCAGGAAAGAAAGATACCAACCAAAGCAAACATGCATCAGGAGAACTAAACGGCTTCCAACTCCTGATGTTGGTGCAAATGTTTCCGCAGTGGTTTTGGAGTATCCACGGAATTCCCTTGCCACAAATCGACATCGTCGACGCCATTCTCCTCCACGATGCCGCCAATCATAGACAGATCTTGTTGAAAGAGGAACTCCTTTCTCACATTCCTCCTGGCTGGGCTCTCTCAAAACCTTCATGCTCAAAAACCTGCTAATCTCTTCAAAGCCAGCCATTTGATCCACCTCTTCCAACTCCTCTGGTGTCAAAGTAGGCGGGTGACCTTCATCTTGAGGCTCTTGATCAACCTGTTGCAATTCTTCATCTCCTTCCATGAACTCCAGCACGTCCTTCTCCCACATCTCATCATCCACTTCTTCTTGTTCTTGAACTTGAAGAACATTTCCCGCAAAGTGCGGGGTATACAAAGATCCAGTAGGACTTGTTGGAGGGCTAGTCCTTGGGACTTTCGCTTGAGGCTCTTCAATCGGTGTATCATCAACCAGGCTCCTGTAGGAAGGGCTTGACTGCTCAAAGTCTCGCTTTTCTCACGACCAGGGTCTGCAGCAGTCTCATCAAACCTCACAGCCTTCTTCGAAGATGATTGTTCACCTTCAGCTTCTCTCTTCCTTCCATCTTGGATTTCCACATCCTCCTCGTCAGAGTCATGGGGATGTCGTTGAGCATACTCCATCACATCCTTGGCGTCATAGTCCACCACATCATCAGGTTCTCGTCCACGATGTTCAGGATGTTGATCCCTCACCGGTTTTGGTGTGATGGGAGCGCCAGCCTTCAAAGCTCTGGAAGACCTGCGCTTGGGAACCTGAAAAGGTTTCTCATTGACCATGAAAAGCTAAGTTGGGCGCCAAGGTTCAGAGGTTCTTCTGATTGCTTTTCCACGCAAAACGCCATCACATGTAGCCACCACATGTAGGTCTTCATTCTCCGTTTTCCCAAGCCATATCCCAGGCACCCACTGTGGGCCTTGTTTCACATTCAATCCTCTCCTGTGGAGCAGCATCACCACTTCACCAAAGACAGCAACTTTTCCACTGTAGCGCCTGCCATTTGCCAACTCGAAGGCATTGACCTTTGTAGTTGAATGGCAGTGAAAACGATTGATCAACCACACTGCATGGTTGTAGCTCCAAAGGTGTAGAGCATGATCTGCAGGTAGTCGAAGCTCGCACTTGCTCTCAGCCATGTAGGTCAAAGTAGAGGCCTGTCTCCTCACTGTCTGAATTGCTCTCTCTATCTGGGCTGTGCGGCCCTTTTCACCAGGTTTTGCATGGGTTACCACTGTTGAAAAACCCAATTGCTGACGCATGAGCTGCACGCTGTTGAGAAGGCTCTTCATCGTGGGTTCTGAGTCTCCCACGAACTCAGTCTTGTCCATGTAATTCAGGGAGAGGGAAAACTTGACCAAATGTTCAGCTTGTCCACGAAGATCAGCTCCTTTGGATTCCACCGGGTATGAAGCCAACATCTTGCTCTGGGTGTCAATTGCCAGCAACACCGTGATCGTAGGCTTGTCTGCCTCAATCTTTCCAAAGGCATAGTCCACCTCGATTGTAGGAATGCTACGTCTCTCCTCTGGGGCTGTGTCGAGCAATCTTTGAGGATCAGCTCTTGCTTTGCAAGCCACACAATGGTCACACCAGCTCCTGTATGGAAGGTGTGTCATCTCATGCAAAAGTCTTTCTTCACGGCTGGGTTCACGTGGAGCACTTTGAGGAACCAAACCTTTGTGTAGCTGCTCTTCCCTGTATAGCCTGTTGGCTGTTTGAAACATCATTTGATGCTCATGTCGTTGAACTGCTTGGTTCAGCCGATCCCACAAAGCTTGCTTTGCCCCGCCTCGGGAAATACCCAAGTATTCAGCACTTGCACGCAGCATTGCCAAAGAGCTTGACGCTGTGATCACATTGCCATTGACCACCAAGGAAGGCTTGTTGTCGAAGATCCATTCAACTCCTCCATCTTCATCAGAAGCAAGTACTCCTCCAGGATGTAGTTGAGAAAATTCTTCTGGTTTGAGACCTTCTTGCAGTTCAAGGGGCACCATAGGCTCTTGCTGGAAAGCATAGTCAGCCGCATCGATTTGAGCTCCTTCAGCTTCCACTTCTTCTTGTCCACAAACGGTTCCAAAGATTGAGAGGGGCTCTTCAGTCTTGTGAAACATAGTGAGCACCAAAGTTGGTCTGCCATAGCACTCTGTGATCTCCTCCTCGTCGTTCAGCTTGGTGAAATAGGAGACACAATGTTCCACCACCTCCCAGGAGTAGTCAGCCAATTGAATCAGCGTAGATCGTCGAGGCCATTCACTCCAGGGAAACAAAAGAGTAGGGTTGAGGAACTTGGTGCTGTTCAAGGTGATGATGAAAGGATTGCCTTGTTCCGTAGTTGTCCAACCACGCCTGAAAATCCGATCTGTAAGCTCCTTGTAGGGCTGCACCACCGTTTGGATCACCAGCTTGTAAGGCTTGTACCCCATGCCATCCTCACTGTCATTCTCTTCATCCTCACCAATGGAAGTCAAAGGACAGGAGATAGGATCCAGAGCTTGTCCAGGTTGTCCATGACCATCAGCCACATTGACCATTCGAATGTGGGCAAAAACTGCCAGGTTGTTGCGCTTGAATTGTAGAGGGATTTCACATCCTTGGTCAGGTGCAACCAGATTCACACCTGCAGGGGCCATTGCATTAGGCCTCATAGTCCATCCCTTGTGCAAGAGGCGTCCAAGGCTTATCAAAGGGCATCTCACGCTCGAAACCACAAAGTCATCCTCAATGACGATGAGTTCATCATTCTCACCTTCCATTTCGATCTGTGCAGATCGTCGACCATAGGTCCTGAGACGACCACCCTGTGCATCTTCCAGCACAGTTCTGGCAAGGCGTTTTGTGCTTTGTCCACGATCAGCCATCTCCTGAGGAAGGAGGCTGATGTCAGCTCTTGAATCCAAAACCACCAGCTGACCATCACAAAGGGGAACTGCACGAACGTGATAAACTTCCAGCTCATCACCACAATGAACTTGATCCATAGGGCTTTGCAAATTGTCATACCACTCCATCAAAGCAGCTCTCTCTTCTCCCACGCTGCTGTCATCTTCATTCTCACCAGCAGCCATGTTGAAGTAGTTAGCGCAAACCATTCTGACGCCATACCATTCATCCTCTTCCTCCAGGTCACTGCGCAACTCATAATGCTCAGGTCCTTGAAGGGGAGTTGCAACATGATACATCTTGACAAGTCTAACTGCCTTCGAAGATGCCGTCGTGGTAGAGGTGGTAGAAGCAGTACTCATTCTCCGAGGGGCATTTGAAACACTGTCAGCAGGTTGGATGGTAGGACCATCACTTGGCGCAGTCGAATTGACTTGGCTCACCTGATTTCTGCTGGGACACTCATTGCCCCAATGACCTTGCTGACCACAAATGCGACAGGTGTTGTTGCTGCTTCCACTTCCATATCCTTTCCCTTTCTGGGATTTGCCCTTGTTTTTACCTTTTCCTTTCTTCCCCTTGTTTTTACCTTTGCTCTTGCCATTGCTCTTTCCACCATACTTGCCGCCATAGGCCATTCCAAACCAACCGCCCTTCTTGCCTTTGGACTTGCCTTTCGATTTGCCTTTGCCCTTCTGGCCAAATTGCACCTGATCAACTTCCATTGGAGCTGGTCCTTGATAGGAGGTTGAAGAAGAAGAGGTAGGGTTTTGAAGTTGCTGCAGGTTTCGAAGAAAACCATCACCACTCCAGGCCTTGGTGTTCTTGTCCAACAAAATCAAACGCTCTTTCAACTTGCTGTAGGTGACATCGTCGTCCATCACCATCTCCAAATGACGACGTGTTGGAGCATCAATGCACCGTAAAATGGTGCTGACAGCCAAATCATCAGGCATAGGCTGTCCAGAAGCCAACTCATACTGGTCCAAGAGGGAGTCGAAGTTGAGAAGGTTCTCCAGCATACTCCTCTGCGTTGAGAATGCAGGATGCTGCATTATTGCCTGTCCAATTGCCAATGCACGTGGTCTGGCTCTGGGGGCGTAGAGGCTTTTCAGCTTGTGCCACACGCCAAAGCCATCTCTGTTGTTGGAAAATGCCCTGACCACCTGAAATGCTGGTCCACGTAGATATGAAGCCAAAATGGAATACAGCTTGGTCGACAGCTCCTGGGTCTCCTGCTCCAAGGTGTGGAAGGGGTTGAGGTTGTCCAGGTTCTCCACGTCTTTGATGAGGTCGTTGTAGCGTCCATCACAAAACACCAACCAGTTCAAAAACTGCTCTCTCCAAAAGCTGTATCGAACAGGATCATCAGTGTCAAAAACATCTGGTGATTTCAGGACACGGGCACCATCTCCAAAACGTTGGCCACCTTTTCCTCCTTGAGCTGCTTGCATCATAGAAGTTGCAGTTTGAGCTGCAGTTGTGGCAGCTTGGGACAAGCCCATGATCCTTGTCAGCAGATCATTGGCCTGCTCAGCATTCATCCCTTGAGCTTGGGATACCATAGCCAGAAGCAACATCCCACGTAGTTGAAGTCGAAGCTCCCACCTCTGTTTGAGGTTGCCATTCCACCTCACTGCGCGGGCCCAAGTGGCTCCTTGATCTCGGTGTTCTCTTCCATCTCCATTTCAGCCAGGCTTTCATGACCATCACAAGGAAGACCAATGCCATACTGCTTGCAGTCAAAGGCCAAGAGGAACACCATGACAAACACCAGGAAGATGCTGAAGTCAACGTTGAAGCCATCGATGACAAAGTCCAGGACGTAGAGCTCATCCATGTTGCCTGCATAGATGCCAGCACCAGAAGCGCCATGAAGATCTGCAGCGGCCAGGCACCAATCCTGACACATCGTCCATGAGGAGGGCACCAATCCTCTCCTGATTCCAATTCTCCTTGAAGACGTCCACCATGAAAAATCTCCGTGGTCCCAATCCACGTCAAGCGCCGTGCTGGGCATGAAGTTTCATTCATGCTTTGGTCGAGGTTCTCGGCAAAATTGAAGGTGATGTAGTTCGAATTGCAGCCACCACCATACATAAGGCTCTCGTTGACCGCCTTGTAGTTGCCATTGGGCTCATTCCCATGGTGGAGCATAGGGTACCAATCCCTGCCTCTCACCATTTCGAATTCCACTTGGTGTGCACATACTTCATCATGTAGTAGCCACCACAGCGCCACCAAGAACGCCATGGGGATCTTCGAGCACTTAGGCTCCGCTGCCATGTTGGCAGAGCAAACGCAGGAAAGCGCCTTTTGTCGTTTCACATCTGAGCCACTATTGCAGTCAGTTCCTGTGCGTGTCATCCTTGTGCAGTGGCCATGTAAATCGGTCATGCACTGACTGGAAATCTTTTACAAAACCTCTCAAACCTGGGGAGTTGTTAGGACACCCAGAGTGTGAGCAAATGTTGGCCAGGAATATCAACATGTTTCAACTTAAGGAAGGTTCAACAAAACGCTATTGGGGTCAGCGAATTCATGATAGTGCAGTGTTGTGTTTGCATAGGTTTGATTAGGAAATCAAAAGTGAAAAATGCAAAATTATTCGAAGGCCAATGAACCAGGAATGATTTATATAATATGTTTTGAGGACGCAGGGGTTGCACCTTGTTGCAACATAACGCATTGAACATGTTTCGGGCAAGGTATACTGTGCAGACCTTGTTTGAATGAAGGCGGTAAAGAGAGAGAGAGAGAGGCGTAGTGTGTCCAGAAAATAGGACAATATAGGACAATGAGTTGACCGGTTTTCACTTGCATCTGATTCGCAAACCGAAATCCACTTAACGGACGCATGGAATTATCAAGTGAATCATCGATCAAACGTCGCTCCCAATTCTGCTCAGTGTTTTCAAGGCGACTTCGCTACCACACATCCCCGGAGTGATTTTTTCAAACAGCCACTTGGCAAACGTTGGTTATGACCGTGCCACATGGGTGCGGCATGATTGCTTGACAAAAGCATAGTTTTTCTGGCAAGAGGCCAACAGAACGCACGGTAAATACAGCTGCGTGTTGATTTGTTCCGTGAAAACGGAGCGCCAGGTGAAATTCCAGAGGATAAACTCATAGGAGCCTTGGCTGAAATGCACTGCTCTAATGAGCATCGCAAGGTATTTGGTAGTTGTAAAAGTTAGGTATTTCCAACTATATATGCATTCTATCTTATTGGGAGGTGGGTGTTTTGTTGTCACCCCAAATGGCCTGAATTTGGTTCCCATGGAGATTAGCAGGGTTGATTTGGATATGGATGGACATTTTCATCCTTGAGAACAGCCGGTTTCAAACAGGTAAAAATGGATCAATTATGTGGGTCGATTGTTTCAATGGATTGGTTGTATGGGAGAATCCGCGTACCGAAAACAACGATTTTACCTCCAAAGAGACGGGTTGATGCACATGTTCCCTTCAACTTATCCAAGAAACTGAGATGATAGATCATTACGACCGTCACTTTCTCTAGTCTTTACTTAATTTGTTCGCATTTTCCAGTATTTTCCCTAGGTTTTGCGGAGGTTTTGTCATTGGCAGGTCAGGTGCGAAGCTGGGCGGCTTCATCCCAGGCGGCCATGGATGACCCAATCCCGAAGTCATCATGGCCTTGTTTGGCATGAAATATTCTCATTATATGGACAATAGATGATCAATGATGATCATAATCATTATATATATATATGATATTATATGATCATAGTCCTTTCAAGTCATTTGATGTTTGGGAGATATGTGATATATTCATGGTTACAAAGAATACGTTTGGGAAGAAGTGTGTTGTGACCTCATGTCGTGACGTTACTGGAATGATGATGCTTAGGTTTGGGGAATCAGTCCCAAACGGCCCGACCATTTTAATTATTTTCATTCCAGGCTTTTGAATTATACTAGTTCAGTCAGATTGTTAATGAAACATATGGTTAGGGGTAGGGAATTCATAAAATAACAATAGCCGCCCAAGATGCCGCGTAGGATGCGTATGATTGTTGCCCTCTACCCCATTCATATTAGACACCCCCAATATCAACCATGGTGGATGTAGGGGATGAAACCACATGTTTGGGACCATACAATGGGGGTGTTTAAATATGAAATAGGGATGTTTTTTTGTTTCATATCATTATTCTGGGGATGATTACTAGTTCATTAGTTTATTTTGGAAAACTTAATTCAGGTTGGTGAATTCTGTTGCTTCAGCTAGATGGGTGTCACGTTGAGCCAGTTGCTCTTCCGCTGTCGTAAAATCTCTTCCAAGTCTGCAAAGTTGCAATGTATAATGCAAAAAACACAAGTTTGTAGTGCTGGTTCACCCCCTGGTCTTTGTATTTCGATTAAGGGACCTTTAGGTTGCGAAATGGTTGAGTCCCAGTTTCAGTTGCTTGTTCGTCAATCCTGTTCGGTAAACCCAATCTTAATCTGTGAAAATCGCAAGTTTCCTCGGTGAAATCCGTTTTCTTGCAGGTCAATGGTCCATTTTGTGTGGTAAGTGTCTATTTTTTGACGAGTGAAGATCTCCCCCAATGCCTTCCCCCTATACAAATTACGTATGCCTGAAATGAAATATTGAAGCAGGGTTCCCGAGGGTGTATTTTATATAAATGAGACTATACTACAGCCGATAGTATCATATCCCCATTCCAGGATGGCTACAACCATTGTAAGCATTATATAATTATATACTTCAGATATCTTCGCAAACATTTACCTTCCAAGTCAGTGATTCTGTCCTGGTGGAGAAAGCAGTTATTTACTTTCACCCCCGAATTTCCGATAGTTTTACTTTGCACCCAGAAACCATGGGGAAAAACCTTCTGAATGTCACAGCCAGGCACTGAGTCGGCAAAACGCCTTTGACCTGCTGCAGGTCGTGATGCTTTCCCAGAAAGGGTGGTGGTTTGATCTGCCATTTTTCCCTGGGTTTAAAATTTTGTAAACAAAACAGGGGTTTAGCTGCAGACACTGATTGGAAACTGCGGTTCGGCATTGCTTTGCCCATGGCCGTTTCGATTTTACCAATAGTATCACTACTCTGGCACCGAACCGTTTGATCCCAAATGGGACGGCAGCATCGTGGAAAATAGTTTTAATTTACATAGGACCAGTGTTTGTTTGAAAGCTTCAGTCATTGCCATGCACCGATTGACCCCTGACATCCAACCTTTGATCCTGCCGATGCCCTGAAGGGGCCCAGCCTCTACCTGATGACTGACGGAGACCGCTGTCCCAGGAGTAGAAAACATAGTGTGAGACAGAGCGGTAGTGGAGCTACCGGTTTAGATATCCAGGGATTACAGCCATGTCGACAGGAGATGAAGGGCAAGACACCCTTCTTGCAGCAGCTACGACTGGAGCTGGGACCCATCAGGGCACTGCTGGTGCCGGAGCTGGGGTGGATGGTTTCCTTAGGGATCATGACCCACCGCCTGGCGATCCTGAGACAACCTTCAGGGCCTTTGAAAAGAGCTTGAAGTTGTGGCAGCTGATAGATGTGCCCCTTCGAAAGCAAAGTGCGAAGCCTTTGAGAGCTTTGACGGGGGCTGCCCGGCTTGCCCTGGAGGAGTTGGAGTACGAGCAGATTGCCTCAGAGGGTGGTATCAAAAATGTGGTGAATCGCTTGCGGGAGTACTTCGCTCCACACTTGCAGGTTTCGATGCCGCGTGCTTTCGAGACTGCGGTGTATGGGCAGCCTCGCCAGAGCAAGGAGACCTATGCAGTACGTTCACAGAATGCAACGCAACTTGCGTGGACTTTCCCAGTGGCGCCAAGGGCTACACCATCTTCAGGCAGAGCTCTCTGACAGAGGCTCATGATCAGAGGGTGCAGACTTGGTGCAAAGGCAGCTATGATGAGAAGGTGATCATCCACTCGTTGCGGAAGCTTGACAACGTGATCAAAGAGAAAAGCGGAAAGCCGCACTATGTGACTGAGGGCCTGGACGATGGTGTGGCCGACGAAGGCACCGTTGGGGATTATGTCACCGGCATGGACCAGTCGGATGAAGAGTACATCTATGTTGCTGATGGTGACCTGGATGTGATCTATGAAGAGAAAGACATGGTAGAGGCCTTGGCTTCTTATCAACAAGTTCGGCAACAGCTGAAGGAGTAGCGTTGGGGCCGAGGTTTCTACCCACGTCCAGGTGGCAAGGGGAAAGGCTTTGGAAAAGACGGCGGCAAGACCAAGATTCACCGTGAGCACTTGAAGCTTAGGACCCGTTGTTGGCGTTGCCATCAAATAGGTCACATCAGTTCTGAATGTACCAACAAGCCTGTGGGTGGGGGAAAGTTCCAACTCAGGAAAGGCGAGTTCCCGAGCAGGTAGTGCAGTCCCTAGCAAGTCAGCGATGGTGGATCTGTAGCAGGTTCAGTGCCTTTTCAGACCAAGGAGTCCCCAAGCTTTTGGCTCCGTATCTTTGTGGAGCAGCAGGCAAAGATTCAGACTGGATCAGCTGCGATCAACGAGGATTATCGCGAGCGGCCTGATGTTTGCAGAAGCCCAACTTTTTGTGGCATTGTTACCCAAGCATGTGAAGGGGTTGTTGACGCTGCAGCGGAAGGTGATTGGGACTTGTGCGCTTTTTGATTGAGAATGTCATTTCAAAGAACTTGGTTTGCACTGTCATTTCAAGCAATCAACAGCGAAGGGTGTTAGTGGAAGTGCAGTTGTCAAGGGGGTTATTCTTATTCCTTTGGGCATTGGTGGCATCAATGGAGGGCTTGAGACCACAGTGGTAGAGGCAGATGTGCCGTTATTGCCAAAGCAGGTAGATTTTTGAAGATTCTTGACGCCGTCATCAGTATTCCCAAACGTGTTTTGAGGTTGGAAGGTCATGGAGTAGATGTTTGCATGAGAAAAACTTCACAGCGGTCACATGGTCATCTCAATCATGGAGTTTGAAGGTGGCAGGTTTCGATGTCCTGATCAATTTCAGCATCAATATGATTTTCATTTACCACCTTGCTGGTTCAACGGCCAAAGCAACTTTCGAGCCCCACTGCCTCAGCCTTCTTGTCCTCTGACTGTGAAGGTTCCAATGGAGCGCATCGTTGGGCGTTTGCGCAGCTTGGGCCAGACGCCTGTGGCCGCAGCCCCAAGTCAGGCAGTGGCTCGTGGAGTGAAGAGGGGCCACAACTCGGCCCGTGTAGTTCGAAATTGGAGGGTGGTGTTGGGCAAGATTTGCACCATCCTGACAATGGTGATTCTTCAAGACGCCATCGGAGACTGGTGTCCCGAGTCTTCGGTGCCGGCGTCGCTGCCATCATCGCAGCCAACTGTGGAGGAGATCTATGCGGAGCTGAGTGCGGATGCGAAGCCTTTGCCCCCACTCAAGTCCCAAGAGCCTCCTTCAGTTTCTGCGAGTTCGTGTGTCCATCCAACGGGGCAGCTGAAGGGCGGGGGCAATGCGTCACTCGAGGTGGGAGAATCTTTTCCGTGCCACGGAGGTCCACGATGAAGGTGAAGAAGGGCTCCTTGAAGTAACGCATGGACGTGGGGCCGGACAGTGCGCAGATGGAAGGAGACTCCAGCATGACGATCCGCGAGGTTCCTTCCGAGATGATGGGTTGCCTGCAGAACATAGAGCAATACATGAATGCACGCTTGGAGGTGCTGGCTCAGGAGATTTCTCACAGCCAAGCAGCGTCCAGCCAGGACGGTATCCACATCCAGAAAATAGGGGACGAATTGAAGCAGCTGGCTGCAGTTGAGGGAGAAGGAGATCGAGCAAGAGGCGATGTTCAGGATGCGGAAGAGAACTCCAACCATGGCGGCGGCTCCAGCCATGACACAAGGTCCTATGGACGACCAGAGCTCAGTCTCCAGACATCAAACCCTGAAGAATGATGCAGCCCATGTGGTGGTGTAGCATATAGTTGACCCATATTGCTTATGCAGTGCTTTCAGCAAGCAGCAATCCATGATGTGCCTATGCAACCTGCCGGCGGAGCAGTAGAGGGCCCACGGAAGGGTCGAACCTTTTGGAAATGTGCCCAAGGCCAGTGCAATTACTTCCACTGGGATCTTCTGGAACAGCCAAACCGAGCCCGAAAAAGAGCCCAAAGACCTCCAAGAACAGCTTCTCCGCGGTGGATTTGGTGTCGGACACGGAGGACCTGTAGAGCATGGAACATGGATTGCATGTGATAGCAGGTCGTCTAGGACATGGGCTAGGAGACAGCAGGTGAGGTCTTTGTCTCAGGCGTCTTCGGCAAGGTTTCTCTGCGAGCGCAAGTACCAAGTAAAGGATGATGATGGAGTTTGGCATTCACGAGATGGTTTTGTTTCCTTTAATTTGGTTTCGCAGGGTGAGTTGAGGATTTGGGCAGTTGAAACTCCACAGTTTTTGGCAGAGGCTCTTTTTGAGAATGGTAAGGGACCTGCATTCACGTCTAAGCAGAGGAAAACTTTGAACTTAGCAGTAGAGAAGATTTGGCAGAAGCCAGGAATTGCAGAAGTGTTTTCACCACCGAGGCTTTCAATTGAGGGTGCAAAACAAGGTTTTCAGTCTTCCGGCAGTTTTGATTTAGAGGCAGGGTGGAATCTCAGTGATGCTGTAGACCGACGTGCAATGTGGCGTCATCTTCAACACACCAAACCTTTCCTCATCATTCTTTGTCCTCTTTGCACAATGTTTAGCGTTCTTCAAGAACTGCTTCCATTGCTCGCTGGCAGGCATCTCAGGGGCGTTACTTCCTCTATGAGCACCCGGATGGTGCGAGGTCGTGGCTGGAACCCTGTATCGAGCGCCTTCAGGAGATCGAGGGGGTCGTCCGAGCTAAGTTAGACATGTGCATGTTTGGCACGAATGTGACGGGGAAAGGTTTGAACAAGAAGCCCCCTGGTATTCTTTGCAATTGTCCTGGTATTCTTCAGAAGTTGAACCGGCAGTGTGATGGCAAACATTTTCATGTTCCTTTGATGGGTGGAGTGGCTCATCATGCTCAAAAATATCCTCCTGCTTTCTGCAAGGCTGTCATCTACGGCTACGGTCTTCGACAACAGCTGAGGACTGACGAGGCCATGCAACAATTTGCAGCTCACTTGCCAGAAGAAATCGCAGGTGTTCGTGGGCATGCAGGATGTGAAGAAGCCACGACATTTTTGCAACATCAATTCACAACCCGCAAAGGTGTAATCATCACATTCGAATACAGTCAATGTTATGACAGACTGCAGGTTGCCGTAGCCACGCTTTTTCTCCAACAGCTGGGATGGCCTGAGGCCTTAGTGGCCCAACTACTGCAAGTTTGGTCAACTACACGGTTTTTAGAATTTGAACAACATGTGCATCCGGAAACTTTGCAAGGTCGAGGCATACCCCAAGGTTGTCCGATTGCGCCGATTTGCCTTTCTTCGAGCCGTTGAAGCGTTGATGATCAACAATTTTGGATACACCATCCCTGAAAGCAAGGCTGCTGACACTCGTATCTACATGGATGATCGCACATTCGTAGATTCAGACCTTCGCCGAGCCTTGGACCGTTTCATGCTCGTCAGTGGGGCTGCTTGAAAATGAGAACAAAATTCAAGCGCTTGCAAAAACCAAAGCACTTCAAAGCCAATTACAAATCCTTCAACCAGTCTGGATGCAGAACAAAACTTTGTCAGCTCTTGGTGTCAGCATTCGTGCAGGCCCCGTTGCCAATACAGCCTTGGAAGAAGCAAGGGTACAGGCCGGCACGCAGCGTGCCAAGCTGTTGGCCTGCCTGCCGCTGTCCTACAGGCACAAAATGGAGCTCTACCGGATCTTCGTCCTCCACAAAGCCACATACGGTTGGATCAACAGGTTCCCTCCGGAAGCAACTGCGAATCGCTGGTTCAATGCTCTTACCAAGATGAACAACACCAACAAGATGGCCAATCCTTGTATTCGTGCAACTCTCTATGGTGGCAACAGCCATTGCCACCCGGTGATTGGCCTACGAATGTTCAAAAGGTTGGCAAGAATGCGAAGTTCCCTGCCATGGTCAGCTCAGGCTGGCTCTCCAGTGACAGCCCTGAGAGGCTGGATGAAGAAACTTGGATGGCAAGAAGTTTCTCCCTGGAAATGGAAATGGTACAACAATGTAGTCGTGGAAGCTGGACCTTCTACGGGACAGGAAGCAATGCATCACCTGCGTCACAGTTGGCGAATGCACCTGCTGAACAAGTTCTCCAAATCTAAAAGACATGAAGCTGCGGAGTGGCGCAGAGTCACAACACATGCACAGATGCGTGCAAACCTGGAAGAAGTTGATCTTGCCGCTGTGCGCCGGCACTTTGATCGAGCTACTCCCAGTACGCGTGCAGTGCTCCTTGGCTCAGTGGTGAGTCCTGCCTGGTATGGCAGATCTAATCAAGGGAGCACACAATGTCCATACTGCAGAGGTGTGGGAACTTGGATGCATTTGGCATGGAATTGCAGAAATGTTCCTGGTGCTGCAGTGAGAAGACCTCGGCAACATCCTAAGAACTGGTTGACCAAACGTTTTGGTTGGCCTACAACATCAGATTCACACACTGCTATTACTAGACGGCTGCAATGGCTGTCTGAAGTGGTTGAGTTGATCTGGCAGGTGCGACACGACTAGTGTCGCGTGGATGGTTGCAGCTCGCGAACTACTACAAGGGCGACTGCAGCTGCACTTCAAAATGGTATATTATTTACATCTTTGAAGAGATCTTTGCCCAAGAGGGTGAGGAAGATGCTTTGCAGATCACCCAAGGCGAAAGATGCAGTCATGAAGTTGCATCGCAATGTCGGCCACCCACAGAAACCAGAGTTTATTCAGTTCATGAGGGCTGGAAGAGTGCGTAGTGAGGTGGCCAAGGAATTTGAGTGCGACGTCTGCCAGGCGAAGCAACAGCTGAAGGCAGCTCGACCTGCGGCTATTCCAAAGTCATTTCAGCCGAATCGAGTGGTAGGAGTGGATCTCATTTACATCCCTGAAGTAGGCGGCATTGGAACTTTTCCAGCGGTTTCTCTTGTGGATTGGGGTACCAACATCAGATGGTGGAAAGAGTAGATTGCAAGCATCCCGAAGACGTTTGGGACGAGGTGGTTGCTATCTGGTTTATAGAGTTTTTGGACCTCCCGAGATGATGATCTCGGACCCTGGAACAGATTTTGGAAAAGAATTTCAAGAGCTAGCAGCATAGAGTGGGGTGATTTTTCATCAGACAGGGGCTCGCGCACCCTGGCACCAGGGCCGCACAGAGCGTCATGGTGGCCACTACAAGAGCATCCTGGAGAAAAGGCCAGGTCTGAGGTGGTGATCGGAAGCAAGCAAGAGCTTGGTTTGCTGATGAAGGAGGTGGAACAGGCCAAGAATAGATATAGCAATCGGTCAGGCTTTGCACCAGTTCAAAGGCAGATCGGGCAGCGGCCCCGAATTCCAAATGCCATTCTCTTTGACAATGTGGTCGATCCGGCCTTGGTGGATGGGATGTGCGTGGATGACATGGAGAGGCTTCACAAGATGAGACGCGTGGCCCAGAAAGCCTTTTGTGAGCTCAACGCCAAGGAGGGGGTCCAGTGTGCTCTGCAAGCCAGGCCAAGGGTGTGGAAAGAGTATCAAGTGGGCGATCTGGTCTATGTGCACCGAGTGCAAGATTGGAGGTACAGAAGTCATCGAGACTGGAGCCAACAAGCCCACCTGGGTGGGCCCCGGCACCGTCATTGCACCAGACGGTGCCAATCTCTGGGTCTCTATGCTTAAAAAAGAATTATGGCGAGTGGCACGGGAACTCCAATGTCGTCCCGCGACCAGCATCGTGGTGTTGAGACGGTGATGCGAGAATGTGCCGAGCTTGTGGGCCAGTTCAAACGAAATGCCAATCGAGCTGGATACAAGGACATCACCAAAGAGGCATTGCCTGAGCCAGATAGCTGTGAAGAGCCCGCTGTGAAACGACCCAGGTTGGAGGATGTTTCTGTTGCTCCACTAGACACTGCGAGCATGCTAGATGACCCACCAGTTGAAGTGCAAGACGTAAACGTCACCAAGAGCTGCCATTTGCGCCAAGTAGCTTAGAGTGCGTGCCTACTACACCCTTGGATGACAGCGAAGACATGACCCCACGGGAGGCTGAAATTACACCACCAGCTGCTGATCTTCCGCCTGCAGAGGGCACCCCAGTGATTTCCAATGAGCGTGCCGTCCAGAATTACCAGAGAACCATGGAGCAATCTCAGCCAGCAGATGAGTGAACGGTTGGATGGCTACCACCCGAAAAAGGGCACCAGATGGGTTCGAGGTCACGATCCCCATTTTTCTGAGTCTTGCTTTTGGCTGGCAGATCCATCTGACTATGATGAGGTGGAAGAGGCGCAATGGCAAAACAATGGCCAGGCGATCCACAACCTGGACTTTGACCAGTGGAAGTCTGGTTGGGAGGTGGACGTTGGCCGGAAGAAGCTCAAGCGCATTCATGGAACCAGCCGGACGGGAAAATTCAATCCTCTTGGAAGTCAAGACATCCCTTGCTAGTTGGCCTGCTGGGAAACTCATGGCGAAGCATCACCTTCAAGAAGGGCAAGGTGGTCCAGGAGGAAGTGGATAATTGGAGGCTTCGAGAGGGCAATGTCTCGAGAAGCTGGTGGTGCGGCGTCACTGAGTTTGACCTCATAGATGCTGGTGCTTTGGACGCTTGGGTGGCGGCCAAGAAGGGCCAAGATGAGGTCAACTTGAAGGATGAGCCAGAGGCAGAGTTAGAAGGAGGCAGATGATAGCGAATGGGCCAAGATTGTCGCCAATGGTGCGGTGAAAGTTCCGAGTTTGGACAGGTGAGAGCCTCACTGGAGAAGGAAGGTAAGGGCGATAGAATTCTCCCTACCAAGATCGCCAGACGCTACAAGCCAGCTGAGCAACCTGGCGAGGTGCTAACAAAGAAGTCAAGGTTGTGCATTCGTGGGGACTTTGATCCAGACATTCTAGACTTGGAACGCTTTGCGCCAACCATTACCACGGCCAACTTCAACGTGATGTTGCAGCTGGCTGCAAATGAGCAAATGGTTGGCACCATCGGTGACTTCAAGAACCCTTTCTGCCAATCCAAACTTCTGTTGAGGGCCAATGAGCAGATCGCGATGATCATTGCTGTGTGTTATGGGTTAGCAGACGCCCCATTGCATTGGCGAAGGACTTTGATTGAAGATTTGAGAGCTCTTCATTACCATCCTTCTAAGCTAGATCCTTGTCTTTGCAAACTTTATCATCCAGAAAGTGGCAAGCCAGCTAGGGGGTGTGATCGCGATTGAAGTTGATGACATGTTCACAGTTGGACATCGTTTTCATCATGATCAAATGAGCCAGCTGCGAAAGAAGTGCACTTTTGGTAAGTATGTTCGTTTGCGAGATGAACCACAAGGTGCAAGTTTCAATGGTAGGAAAATCCAGCAGTATGCCGATGGAAGTTCTCGTATCGACATGCAGAAATTCATTGAAGAAAGACTCCGTCCGGTGGTGCTAGAGAAAGGTAGACTTGCCAACAAGAAAAGCTTTGCAAATGAATGCGAGGTGTCCATGGCGCGCGCTACGTGTGGAGCGCTCAATTGGCTTTCCGAGGGAAGTCGGCTGGATGCAGCGGGACCCTCTAGTTTGATGGCTTCTAAGTTGTCACGGCTTACCATTGAAGACATTGTTTCCCTCAATGCCGTTGTAAAGAACTTGAAGGACAACTCCCATGTCTCCATCCTCATTCAGCCTCTCCAGCACATGAAATTGAGCAAAGTCACAGATGCATCGTTTGCAAACAGAGATTATCATTCACAAGGTGGTCAGATTCTGTTAGCTCATGAAGAAGGCTTGAAAGACGGTCATGCTGTGCCGACCAAAGTCCTAGGCTGGCGAAGCGGGAAACTGCACAGAGTCGTCAACTCTACTCTGGCGGCAGAGACGCAGAGTCTCTCCCGTGGCTTGGGAGATTTGGTTTGAACTATGGTGCTGGCCCAGGAGTTGCAGGACCAGGAGTTTTCCATTTGTGACTGGCGTCAACGCGTGAGCGCAGAAGAAGTGATGGTGATTGCGACAGAGTCCAGTAGTGAAGAGCTGAAAGGATCTTTCGCTATAGTAGATGCCAAGAGTTTGTATGATCACTTAGCCAGAGAGATAGTTGGGGGGTCTGTCAAGAGAACCGCTTTGGACATGCAAATAATTCGAGAAGATCTTGTTAATTTGGCAGGTCAAGTGCGTTGGGTTGATCATCCGGCCATGATAGCTGACGGTCTCACAAAGTTGCGTGGAAATCTAGGGCCATTGTATGAGGTTCTGGCAAAAGGAACTTTCAATATTAAATCCGAAGAGGCACAGATGAGTCTTCGGGAACATGCGCTAGTAGATGGCCAAAGTTCAACGCAAATCAGACAGTGAGGGGTCAAAGAAAAGCTTGGGAGCTGTGAAAACTTCAGTCATTGCCATGCACTGATTGACCCCTGACATCCAACCTTTGATCGTGCTGATGCCCGGAAGGGCCCAAGCCTTTACCTGATGACTGACGGCGACCGCTGTCCCAGGAGTATATAGAAAACATAGCGTGAGGCAGAGCTACCAGGGTGATTTCAGAGTTTGATACTTTTGGGGGTAAGGGGTTGTTTGGAAGCGGCGTAAAGTTCATTATATACAGCAAATCCCGCTTCCTAATTTAAAACTCCCACAAAAACAGGGCCAAAAAATAGAAAAAAACAAGGACTTTGGGGGTTGCTTGCTAATCCCCAAAAAGGATTCGATAGATGATATTTAACTCAAACGTTCCAAGGTTTCCAAGGTATTTTCGATGAATTTTGGCATTGCAAAACACACCTCGCTTCGTGAGGCAATAGGACCCACCATTAGGGGCCAACTTCACAAATTGCCCCATTGCCGCATGGTTCAGCATCCCATGCCTCAAGGTGGCTGAGAATGTCGGTGGCACCGCGGCGCCGCGGGTGGTTTGTGGCATCTGGCGGACCAGGTCGAGGGGGTTGTTGGGGTTGTTGGGGGGTGAACTGGGTTCAACGAAAAGAAAAATGGTGGGTTGAATAAGTGATCAACCACCAACAGCCATTCATCAGGGCTTGTTGTAGCCATCGCTTCGAAAAGGAGGTCGTCCATTGAGGCTAGGATGAGGTCTTTTATGTTTTCCCTGGGTATACCAGTGGAAAATAGATGATTTCTGTTGATTTCCACTGATTCGCCTATTGGAACCGGCAATTTTCCATCTTAGCAGCCATCAGTTGGACTCTCTCAGCCGAAGTGGCCCAGAAAGGAAACTGGCACACGAGCCATGGATGTGGAAGATGGGGGCTGTGGCTGTTGGGAACGTGGTTTCACCAGGGAGGAATGGGTCTACAAAGGGCCTGGCAAAGGTAGCTACTCCAGGGTAGGAAGCTTACAGCTGGTGGGTCAGGGCAAGGGAGACTTTGAGACACTTGGCTTGTTGCTAACATTTTTTTTTTGTCTGACTGATTTTGGTTAATTTCTCAACCAAATTTTTAGGCAGTTTTCCAGCTGATTTGGCCGGCAGCGATTTGATCCAACCCATGTGCTGCCTCATATTGCGGGTTTTCATTTGCATGAGCGAGGCATTGCCAAGAAGGGATGTACTGTAGTCCAAAAGAGGCGAATTTGGTTGCCCGCCCCCAAGCAACTTTGGTGTCAGCACTTTCATCTCCAGGAAGGAAAGGTATCAAGTGTCGACGGGCACTCGCTGCCGTTGCGCCTGTGTGGCCTTGTTCCTCCTTGCGATTGTGGCGCTGGCCGCCATGGCGTGGTTTGAACTTGGTACACTCAGGGGAGCAGACCCTGGGGCTGCAGACCCTTGTGATTTGGAGGCTTTATCCTCAGAGATGCAAGTGCAGTGTTGCTCCGAGGCAGGGGTTGACATTAGGGCTGGAACCTTCAGCCACGCATTTTTTCGGGAAGGATTTGGGTGGAAGGTAGACCCATAAGCACAGACAATGCATTGATAGTAACCGTGGGATTGTTAAATTGTTTGAAGTTCCAATCATTCAACGCGTGAGTTTACGCAGAGAAAAACATGGGGTGGGAACACTTATGTAAAACTGCCCCAAAGACAGAATCTTGCAAACCCGCACCTGCCGCGAAACCAAAGAAAGCAAAGAAAATATCCGGGATGTAGTGCTTGTTCTTCAAAATCACCTTCCACTTTCGGTCATGGTTTGGGGATCCCATCATTGGGTTCAGCAGCTCCCAGTGCAACCACTGGTGACTTGGCCCTCAGTTGTCCCTGAGAACTTGAGATGGGATGATTCCCCCAAGTCCCCAGCTGAATCGCTGCTGTGGCTAGGGCCATCTTCGCTTCTGCACACAGCCCGCGCCGGTGCCTGAGCAGATCATCATCCATGACAAGTACTTCACGCACGTGAAGACGGTGCCGGTGCCGCGCACGGTGCCGGTACCCATCCCGCCGCCCGCGCGGCAGGCGGGGCTAGAGCTAGGCCAAGCTTTGGCGGCCAAACATTAGACTTACACAAGGGCCCAGTGTGTAGCACATTTTTGATCTAGGGTGACATACTGTTTGTGAACGTGAAGGTGTGTCTTCATTGGTTTACTTGATTTTGTGCGGCCAGTGCCAGGTAATCGAGCACAAAGTCTACGTTCACAGCAGTGCTTTTGACTGCAGTGGCGACATGGACTGGAAACAGCATCTTGGATCCGAACAATGGCAGTTGGAACCCTGTCGTCCAGATATCTGGGTGAAACGAGGTGAATAGGGCCTGATGGGTAAGCTTCGACCACAGCTAAACTCTCCCTTCGGCCAGGCAGTGGTCTCCGCAACAGCAGCGCTACTGTTGCTACAAACGCAACATTGGCTGCCGAACGAGGTTGAGGATCAGGCCACACTACCACACCATCACTCATGTCCAGCAGGTGGATGGGGGTGATATTTGGGAACAGGAGGGATCACGGATTTACTGTGATATACTGTGATATACTGTGATATACTGTGATATACTGTGATATACTGTGATATACTGTGATATACTGATATATATAATTACTGATATAATATACTTGAAATCATAGTGACGTCATTTGCTTGCAGACGGCAAGATGTGAGCACGAAAATCGAAATCTGCCAAAGCAAACGCACGGATTGTGCAACTTTCAATTAGTTGATGTATATACGTCACAATTTACAGGAAGCTGCATGTTACCACCCGAACATTGGGCTGTCTAATTCTAAACGTTGGTTAAACGTCACAATTTACAGGAAGCTGCATGTTGCCACCCGAACATTAGGCTTTCTAATTCTAAACGTTGGTTAAAGTACATGAATTTGGTGTAGAAGATTTCCCCTCAAACAGCTTCGTGCTGCAATTCTCACCTCTAAAAAATCTTGAATTCCAGTAGATGGGGCCCTAAAAGGAATATATAGACGGATTCCATGCCAGAGCCAGGTCACGGTTCCTGTGCCGGTGCCGGTGCCCGCACCACCACCACGAGTGGTCAGCAGAGTGGTCAATGTCCCTCGCCAGCGGTGGATGCTCGAGCAGTGCTTGGGAAGCTTCCAGAAAATCAACGAGGCAATTCACAATTCATAACAATTCATAAGAACTCATGAAAACTCATGGGAATTCATATCTTGGTGTTCAAGTTGCTGCTGATGGCACCTCTGAGCACAGTGGGAAAAAAGATAGAACATGAGGAACATTTTAAAATCATCCATACGACGCGTGGATTTTCCGGCTCAGCTTAAACTTAGCCGGATGGAGGCTGCACAGCTTTCATAGATAGTTGCAACTTCAAGCAACAAGCTCAAATCTGCAACACGCCTGTGCAATGTACACTACCCACACTTTGCGACACAAACGGAAATTCAATCTTGGAGCCCGCCAAGATTAGATTGACAGTGGGTATGCCCCCTTTTGATGTGTATGCCGATGCCAGTTTGTAAGTGAATCACACTCACCGGTCTACCCCAGTTGTAAACTTGTCACGAAGCCCGAAAAAAATGATGAACCACCTGCGATTCCAGGGTCCCAGAGAAGTGGGTATTCCTCCTGTGGGTTCTGGTGGTATCCCGATTGTTAAAGCACTTTTTTCTTCCTGGCTGAGGTTCCCATTCGCGACCCTCCCGAAATCATCAAAGTACCAGTGCGAGGTCCGCCACATGTGGTGCACAAGTACATCCACCAGAAACAGTGCCTGGGAAGATTGCAAGATGGATGAGGTTTTCATGAAGAAATTTTCGACCACTCAAAGTGACCAACGGTTCCAAAGAAAACCCCCAGCGGGTGCCCAAACATACCAAGAGGATTTACGATTGAACAATTATTGCAGGGGCAAATCCGTTCCCGGCGTTTTCAGCCAGCTGAACAGTTGAGTTTGAATAGTTTCGGAGATCTCCTGACCCACCAGTAGGAATTTCTTGCCCATCTCCCAAGCCGCAGATGGCGCACTCCGACCCTGCAGTAATCAAAGATGGCAACAAATCAAATCCTTTAGAGATGCTTTCCTAATGGAAGTTGCGGATGCCGTGTTTGATCCAAGATCTCCAAGGTGGTAACTTGCAGGCATCCAACCGTTCCAACCACAAATCTGGATCTGTGATGTGGAAATGGGACCTCGGACGCAGAATGGTGTCCGTGAACCAAGGTACGTGCCCGTGCCCAAAGCCAGCCCTCCAAATTACCACAAGGTGGTAGTGGAGGGGGTGCCGGTGGTGGTGCATGGTGCCATTGAGGGGCAAACCATGGCGAAGTGAGGTAGGACTCGGTAGGACCGGTAGGATTAGGTTCGGAATGTTGAGCTGCACCTGTCAGCTTCAACGAAGAGGGTCAGATGGGATTTTTGCGGGTCACTAAGTTCGCTTTTCTTTCTCACTATATACTTCACGTTTAATTCGTTCTTTTTTCTGGGTAAATTCCTTTTCATGTCCGCAAGCAAAGCGACGAGTTTGCAGCTGAAGTCAAGTCAGATGCATCATAAAGCACTTATGTTTGGTTGTAAATGGGTTCATTGCATTCATTCGTAGCCAAACACGTAGAAGTATACCCTCCAGTAGTGAAACGTGGCAACCCCAAATCCCTTCATTCATAGTTTATTTTCCCATTAAAACTTCCATCATATAGAGGATTTCCCAGCCAGCCATGTTTGATTACTGGAGGTAAATGGAGGAACATGCAATTTCTCGCAGCCATCGCTCGTCGGTCAACAGCGTTTCACCGGAGATCGAAAGATGATTCTCTGCTGCAAGGACTTCGCTCCCGAAAAAGCTGCCCGTAACCTCAGGATCAGAAAGAAATTCTATAAACAGTTGATCAATGGGGGAGTTTGTGATAATCATTAAGCACATCAACAAATCACATAAGATAAATGAAAACACAGACACACACACACACATATATATATATATATATCAATGAAAATGGGTTGCCTGATGCACCGATGGACTGATTGGAATAGTAATAGTTTGAGGTTGGAGGATTTTGTATGATTTTGAATGTGGGTTCTTGGCCAGTTGATGAAAATCAGTTATCATTTGATTGGGTGAAACCGGCCCTCGCCTTTCCATATCGATGATCAAGGGCCTCATTTGATTTCGATTCTCTTCATTCTATTCCTGATTTGTAGAGCGCAGTCTTTGACTTTATTGCTCAAAGAAAAAGAATTGATTGTATATGTATATATATATATAATCAATATAGATATATAATTGACTGATTTGGTGTGGGGAAAAGGCATCCGATGTCGGCTTTTAGTCCCCAGCTGCCGACATCGGCCGTTGACATCTGTAGGTTTCGGCTGGCCGAAGAGAAGGAGCCGGTGCCCTGCATGGCGACCTTGTTCTACCGCACACGGGACTACTTGAGTGCCGAGTTCTGGGAGGAGATGCAGATGGTCACCGGAAAGCATCAATTTCACCAGCCATTTGGATCCATTTGGACAGATAATTATATATAGATATATATTATATATATATATTATATATATATATGATATAGAATTGTGCTGTCGAATTGCGCTTGTCCTAGGATGTTTACATCTGGAAAAAAATGGAGAAACAATGCAAAAAAATGGAATTGGAAAATGCAAATCTGAAAGAGGCACACATGACAATTGCGGAAAAAAATGGGAAAGCACAATGCAAGTTGAAAAGAGGCAAAAATTGCAAATGGAGGAAAAAATAGAAAGAGAATACATGGAAGGAACCGATGCAAGCTGGAAGGAGGCGACACGATATGTGGAGAATATAGACAGATGAAATGCAACCAGGGAAAAGGGAAAATGCCAAATGCATTTGCATTTGCGTGTTTGAACTTACGGTATATTTTTATTTTTGATTTCTATTTGTTTTGTATTGCGTTTTTGCATTTGCATTTTTTGTGCATTTATGAGTTCCTCTTTTTTGCATATTCTTTCTGCAGTTGCTTTTTGTTTGCATTTTTAAGATCCTTTTTTTGCATTACATGCTCCATTTTTTCAAGATTCCAATTTTCTAAGATAAGCCCACAAGGCGCCGACACAAATATAGAGGGATTTTCCCATTGCCATAGTTTTTCCTTTAAACCAATTTGGGACTGTGAGTCTTGAAGGATAGTTGGGGCAGGGGCGAGGGGCAAGATTTGCGATATACCTCGTCACAGCGGTTATTGATGGTTGTTGGTTGGTGGAGTAATGAAATTAGGCGGATGATGACCAGGATCCGATCGTGTTTTCCCCGAAAACCCAGGGCAAGTTTATGCTTTGTTTTTGATAACAAGGGAGGCGAAGCAAAATCCAGATTTCGACTTTCAGTTGCCCATATGGAGACCAGGTGACCATAAACTTCCGCATTGTTTGTATTCACTATGAGTCGCAAGAGGTTGCCTGCTATCATGCAAACTATCATGTCCTACATCCTCACATTCAACAAAAGCATGCACCTGAAAGCCACTGGTTCCAGGACCAGATCCGCCAAATTTGCGACATTGTAGCGGAAGAGTGCGCCCATGGCAGCCAGTTTGGCTTCAAGTGAATTACTGAATCACCAGTGCACAACGCAGTTTCACCCTCAATTTTAGCAAACTCAAACGCTAAAAAACCATACCTACTTCTACCATTTGGGGGTCTTCATAATCCTTCCAAAACAGGGGACTGTTGGGGACCGTTGCGTTTATCACAGTTGTTTGGAAGGACATCCAGCTGAGTCCACAGCCTGGGCGCTGTCAGGTACCTGGGCGCTGGCCCAGGGGTTCAGCTCATGGTTCATCATGGTGCACCCTGGGCCATGGGTCTTGAGGCAGGGGGAGTCAACTCAGTTACAACTCCAACTGGGTACGGTTGGGTGAATGGGTATAGCAATGGGATTTTAACTATCATAAGCTGGGAGCACCTATATACTAACCACTTCTAAGTGCTCAGACCCCCAAGAAGTGGCTCTGACCAGCTATATGGGACCCCCATGGGCCCACTGGCTCTAAACTTAGTGATTTCGAGTCCTCAGCCAGCGACTTAAAAAATGGGAAACATGGACCAACCTCAGCGCCCACTTCTTTCGAAGGTCAATGGTTAAATCTGGGATTGTGGGTCGAATGGATCGAATCCATTGAATTTGGCCAGGTCGGAGAACACCGACTCCTAGCTGAAGTCGAGGCTTTGTTGGGGGCTTCTTTAATTGATTCTGTGTTTTTTTCTCCTCTCCGTGGTTCAGGGGTTTACTTTGAGCCGTTAGAATCGGTGAGACGATGTTTTGGCACATGAATTTGCTTTGTGCGTTGTTGTTCTCTGTTCTTTCTCTTGCTTTCTTCCTCTGAAGAATCAAAAATAGAGTGTTTCAGTGGAAAACCAAGGGGTTGGATGCATACCCAGGCCTTTAACTTCTTCGGGCCGCAGAGGTTGGATGGTCAGGGAAATGGCACTTTAAGCAGCCAACATGGGTGCATTTCACCGGGCGACGCGTTTCACTTGAGGGCGTGAAACCTGTGACAGGAAATGGAGGGAAAAACGCGCACACACACACACCAAAGGTTTTGGAGGTATTTTGATTTAGATGGTTTTCCTCCGGTTTTCTTTTCCGTTTCCTCGTGACAGGATCGGCCATCCACACCATGGCTATGTTAAGTTACCAGAGGGTAAAATGAGCTGTCATGATTTTCTACCACGGCGCTGGAAAAGAAGTCGGGTGTTTTGGGGACCACCCCCAGTCAACAACCTGCATTCAATGACTTTCATGCTCTTCAAGGGTGATGTGAAAAACTGGGTGGCAGCCATCAAAATCAATTTTTTGATGGTTTTATCATTCATTTCTCTATGAAATGGGCTTTCCTAAAGGCTGGGCCCATTCCCAGTTTTGTCCCAACCATTGCTGTGAGGGCGGGCATGCTACAAGGTGCCGTGAAGTTGGGAGATCGGGCCGGGCCTAGATTTAAGACAACCTATAAACTAGTTATATCTCAGAATGGGTCGCCCCAAACCATGGAGTGGTATTTTACTCGCCTTTAGCTTTGTTGAACTCCTTGAGAGAGAGAGAGAGAGAAACCACCATGGTTTATGATTCAACGCCTCCATTGAAATATAGCCGGTTCGGTCTGGGCTTCATTCCTGTGTGTCCACACTGAGGGTTTCGTGCAGTCAGAGTGAAGGCCGGCGTTAGATCAGGGTACGCTCTGGGACGCGGCACATTTGCTGTAAATTCTCGCGTGAAGTGCCCTTGTGCAATATCCGTGTGCATTTCGACAGCGCAGGCTGGCACAAAGTCTGCGCCGTGGGGTTGTCAAGGCCTTGGTCTGGGGCATTTTCATTGTACATTGTCGCATAAGCGGCTTCTTCTGATGCATTTCGGCTGCGGAGGCTTGCACAAACGGTTGCCCCGGCCTTGGCCTGCGGCATTTTCATTGTAAATTCTTGCATAACTAAACGGTTCTTTCTGGGAGGTCCATGTGCATTTCGACTGCGCAGGCTCGCGCATTGTCCTGGTCTTGGTCCCTTCTATGACGACCTTGCAAGAGTTTCATGGTGCATTCTTGGAGGTCCTTGGTATATGAAGACTTTGGCCGAAGTCTTGTAGCGGTCCTTGTGAGAAGATGTTGTGAAGATCCTGATGAAATCCTGTCAGCCAAAGGTCCTTGCATGATCTTGCACACATCCTTATTAGAAGATCTTGTGAAGATCATCGTCTAAGAGGTGGTCCTTCCATGAGCTTCCACAAGTCCAAGAAGGTTTTGTGAAGGTCCTGGTGAAGTCCTTTCTTAGAGGTCCTTGCCAACTTGCGTGATGCTGTACAGGTCCTTGTCAGAAGATCTTGTGGAGATCCTGGTCGGATCCTGGTTGAGAGGTCCTTGCATGAAGAGCTTGCAGATGCCATGTATTAGAGGTGCTTTGCTTGTATGACAGCTCTTCTGGGATGCTCTTGGGAGGTTCTTGTCTCAAGATTTTGTAAGACCCTTTCCAGCAGCAGCAGTCCTTTTCTGATGGTCTTGTGGGATTCTCTTCAGGGTCCTGGCATGAAGCTCTTGTAGAGATCCTGGTGAATCCCCTCAGAGGTCCTTGCGGCTTGCGTGATCTATATGCAATCATCGTCATCGCCATGGTGTGGGCGCTTCCTTGAGAAGTATGGGTCAATTCTCACATGGTGTCCCAGGATGGTTTTGTCGTTATTCTGAGCTTCGTTTACAAAGCGCAGGGTCGTCCAATTGGAGGTTTCCATTTGCAAGCAGACGCCACCCCTCGTGGTGTTCTGGATGTTGAAGGGTGCAACACTTGGGGTTTAACAAGTGGTAAGAAGCCGGTTGTCGGCCCAATCATAGGAGTTTGATGGATGTTCAAAATTGAAAATTAATCAAAAAATTGAAGTCTTACCAGCCTGGCAAGCCCTTAGTGAGGCTATCCTCAAATCTCCATGACTTGTGGAATGCGCGTAACGATTCCCGCAGCTGCGATGTTCGAGTTACGTCCCCGACCCAAATCGGCGCTGCATACCAAGCCGGTGAGCGCCATGATGAGGGGCATCGAGCCGCGGGAGGAAGGTGAGATGTCCATGGGATTTTGGATGCTTTGTAAGCAACAAAAAGGGCGACTTAAGCGACTGATGATGACTTAACCAACAGACATGACTACTTAGCCAACAAAAATAGTGACTTAGCCAATGAAAATGATGACTTAACCAGCAAGGTGACATAACCAACACAAAAGGGTGACTAACCAAAATGATGATTTAACGAAAAAATGGTGACTTAACCGACATACATGGTGACTTAATCAGCCAACATGGTGACTTAACCAGCCAACATGGTGACCTAACCCACCAAAAATGATGACCTAACCAACCAAAAATTATGACTTAACCAACGAGATGTCTTAACCAACCCAAAATGATGACCTACCATGGTGACTTAACCAACAAACATCGTGACTCAACCAACCAACATGGTGACTTAACCAACCAAAAATGATGACTTAACCAACAAAGCAGGTGACTTAAACAAAAAATATTCACCCCGCTTCGCGTGGGGTGGCCGCCCACACCGCAGGTTTATTTCGGTCCGTGAGAGGGGCTAAGGGTGGTTTTCCCCCGTGGGAGCTCTTCAAGCTAAGAAATTTCAATAAGAAATCCTTCCAAAACATTGTTTTTGACAGTGTTTTTCCAATGTTTCCAGTCAAACAGACGGTAATTTACACGTTTTTTGCCATAAAGGCAGTAAATCCTTCCAAAACATTGCTTTTGACAGTGTTTTTGTAATGTTTCCAGTCAAACATACGGTAATTTACACGTTTTTTGCTATAACGTCAGTCCAAAACACTTGTTTTTGCAGTGTTTTCAATGCTCTGGCATCCAAAAACCCTGCAAAATCTTGCTATGTACAATGTTTTTTTCATTTTTGGCCGTTTTTCCATTGCCGGAAAGCTACCAAAATGACCCAAAATTCCATTTCAATACCCTCTTGCGCTCAGACACCCAAAAATCCTCGAAAAATGTCGAAAACACCACCGTATTCTGGTCTCGGTGCGAAACCGTTTTTGGGGTCTGGTCTCGGTGCGAAACCGTTTTTGGGCCCCCCCCCCCAGCTAAAGCTGATATAGCGACTGCTATATTAACAAATGTCATTGAGCATTTAGTGTTGCTGTTGCCCCCCAATAAGCACGCCTTCACCGCCAAAGCGGTGTGGGCGGATTTAGGCAACCAAAATGATCACTTAAACAACAAAAATGGTGGTATAATGGGGGTTTGCAAAAAAGGGATCTATTTTGATGAATTTTTATTGACCTCAATGCGATTCACCACGAATGAGGCTTAGGAAGGAGAACCATTCCCTAATCATTAGCTATGATAATTCAGCTGGACGAAATGATGGGTTCAGGTCGTGGAAACTAACGAAATTTCAGGTTTTGATACCGATATCTTTGGTTCCCATCCGACATGTTTTTCTTGACAAAAATCATATGGATCATATGTATTCACTTTTGGGAAACTTCGAAACATCAAAGCTGGGAACCATGAAATGAGGAAGAGAGCCGTTCCGGAGGGGTAAAATCGTACAAAGGGCATACTGCAATGAGGGGTTACCGTTCCAATCAACCCTTAGGCGAATTTGCGACCAAAATTACACCCCAGGAATTTATCCACTTTTAGGCGTTGATCACAGCGAAAGTGGATTGTTAAATATTGGCAAATACAAAAAATGACACGATTTTGTAGGTATCTTAGATTGGGTTCGCGAGACCCCACCATTTCTTTCCTGGGCCCATCAGAGAGCCACTGATCGCTTGTATCAGGCCGCGTCCATGCAGACTTCAGTGTTGTCGATCCTTTGGACCAGATGGGTGCATTCCTGGTGCATTTTGAATCGGCATCTCCCACCCATTTTCCTTTTCCTCCCGAAACCATCCGAAGTGATGCTTCCCTTGGTTGCGTAGTTAAACAAACCCTTTAGTAATCCTTTTGCCATGAATGGGAGTAATGCTAACCCAGGGTTATATAACAAGCGACGCGTTTCCTACTAGGGGCGGAAACGGATTATCAAAGTGATTTATCACTATTGTGGAGTAACACAAGATTTTGAATGAATAGATTTTTTTGAAGTCTGAGGTTGACCATTTATTTGTTTGCTCAATATTAGTCAGTTCCCGAGCTGTTACTGTTAACTAAAGATAACTAAAGTCTATATACGGACAAATCATGGTGAATATATGATTCATTTGAATTTGATGTACTTGTACTACTTAAGCAACTTCTTTTGAGCTGGCCTCTTTGCTGGTATCCTTAGAACCCTGCAAGGCCTAGAGCGACGACCATGAGCTACCTGATAGAGCAAACCAAAAAATATTAGAAAGATTGCAGAGCTGAAAGTTATACATCCTTTGAAACGCTGTTCCATCGATTTGGGGGTTTCTGTAGGAGAAAAAACCACTTGGCTACTCGGTTTTTGCAACAATACATGTTTGCACTATGTGTCACAACAGTGAGCCCCATGGGTTTGCCTTGCAATCGAGGACACCCTAATTTATGCTAAGTAAATATAAGTCAGGCGCGCACACACACACACACACATCTGAATACATGTATTTATGATTATGTATGTATGGAATGTAATGTATTATATTGTATTGTACTGTATTGTAATGCAATGTAACGCAATGCATTGCAGTGCGATGTAATTTGACGTAAGGACTTCGATGAAAGGAATGTAATGTAATATGTTGCATGTAAAGGAATGATTGTAATGCCATGCAAAACATAACGTCATCTATGTAGGATAGGTAATGCATGTTTTGTTTTCAACCATCCTTCGGATGATCCCGAGGGATCACTGGGGACCAGCAGTGCATCCCACTTCGTGAAGGCTTCACAGGGATGTAAGTCAGCCTCAAATGCAGGAAGACTCCCAGAGCAGCGTTACTGGCTTATGCACAGCCAAGATAATCCAACAAAAAATCATTTTCATTCATTTTCTCTATTTGTTATGAAAGTTTGATGGCCATCGATCGAGGCCATGTTGGTTAACCATGGTTAACCAACCTTAGACACACCTCATCGATGCTTCGAGGACTTACACTATCAGCTCAAGGAGTTGCAGGACCTGGTGGAGACACGCTTCAACGAGCAGGTGAGGCGGGTTCTAGTTCCAGCATTGACTCAATGGCAGTGATTTGAGTGATTTAAGCACCAAAAAGAGGCTTACAACATTAATCAATTCATGTGGGATATCGTGGGATTTAATGGGATATGACATGATTCGATGGCATATGATGGGATAGCTTGGGATTTGATGGGGTACAGCGTTTTATGGGATGTGACGGGATTTTTGGATTGGGTTATATAATATTATATAATCGCCAGCAACCAGTACTATCGAAGGCAGAAAAATAAGGGCTTTATTTATCATGTGGCCACCGAGGGCTGAATCCCCAGGAATTGTGATCTCTGTTGGCTCTGTTTGATCAGAAAACGCCGCAGGAATTGATGAACATTTGGCCAAGTTTATTTGCAAACGTGGCGGCGAGAAAGGATACATGATATGACACCTAAGAATGATGAAGAACATAAAAAGAGAAAAAAAGCCAGAACTATGAGAAGCATTCACCATGAACAACCGCACCCCCCATGACCTTTCAAACTGTTTTCGGGGTGAAACGATTGCGTTGTGTGTAGATATGTATGCATAGATAGATTGATAGATCTATAGATCGATAGATAGATAAAACGATAGATAGATAGATCAATGAATCGATAGATAGATTGATAGATATATAGGCCAATGGACTGATAGATCGGTAGATCGATAGACGGATAGATGGATAGATCGATAGTTAAATAGATCGCTAGATCGATCGATGGATAGATCGATGGGTAGATAGATAGATAGGTAGGTAGATAGGTGTTAGATAGATCAGATGGATGGATAGATTGAAAGATAGATAGGTAGATAGACAGATAGATATCGATATAGATAAAGATATAGATATAGAGATAGCGATAGAGATAGATAGATAGGTAGGTAGGTTGGTAGGTAGGTAGGTAGGTAGATAGGTAGTAGCAAGAACAATTGGTGATAGATAAATAGAAATAGATAGACATAGATAGAACGATAGATAGAACGATAGATAGAACGATAGATAGAACGATAGATAGGTAGATAGATAGATAGATCGATAGATAGATAGATAGATAGACAGACAGATAGATAGATAGATAAATAGAGAGAGAGATAGATAGATAGATAGATAGATAGATCGATAGATAGATAGATAGATAGATAGATAGATACATAGATGGGCAGATATAGACATAGATACATAGTTTTAGATATATATAGATATAGATATAGATAAACACTATGGATATAGATAAACATATATATTTAGATTGACATGTAGATAGATATAGAGATAGAGATAGAGATAGAGATAGATAGGGATTGAGATTGAGATAGAGACATAAAAATAGAAATAGAAATAGATATGATATAGATGTAGATGCAGATAGATAGATAGGTAGGTAGGTAGATAGATAGATAGATAGATAGATAAGATAGATTTAGAGATAGATTTAGAGATAGAGATAGATATGGACAGATATATATATATAGATGGATATAGATGGATGGATAGCTAGATAGAGATTCACAGACAGGACAGACAGATAGACAGACAGATAGATGGATAGATAGACAGATTGATGGACAGATAGACGAACCAACAGACAGGCAGACAGATAGATACATGGATAGAAAGATAGATGCAATAGATGGATGGACAGGGACAGACATCGACATAGATATAGATTTGATTGTCCAAAAATGGATGTCTTTGGGAGTTTGTGAAGGGTTGGGTCGTTGGGAGGCGAGGTAGGATGGGGCAATAACGTTCGGTTGATGCGGTTAGCAGTAGAAATTCAATTGCGATAGTTTCTATGAACGTGATGAATCCCAAGGCTGACTACGGTGCTATGGATAGATATTGGGTATATATATATATGATATATATATATGCATATGAAAAATATGACAATGTGTATATGAATGATATGAGAATGTGTATATAGATGATGGGCGTTCATCAAAAACCATAGCATCCCAAATAGTGTCAATCCAGGTCGCTGAACCAAATCACCGTCAGCCACCAGGTGATTAAGTTTACCTGTAGAGAGATCCTTGAAATAAACCCATCAGCCCATGTTAACCTAGTATTATGAGAAATTTGCAGCTGATGACAGAGGCAAGTCGAAACATTTCTTTCATCTTTTTCATTCCCAAATTTGGTTTTCATTTTTTTTTCGTTTTGGTTTTCATTTTTTTTTCTCGTTTTTGTTTTCGCGTTTTTTTTTTTCCTTTTTTTAATGTGCCCCCTTGTTGATATGTTATTTATTCTCCATTCCTTGGACGAACCCAACAAGAACTGGGGCAAAAAAAACGAAAAACAATGAACAAATCATGAACAAAAAAATGACAACAACGTTTTTGAAAAAGTTTTGGAGGTTGACACCTGAATTGGTAAACGTCCTTGGACGAAACCAGCAAAAACTGAGGCAAATGAAAAAAAACAATATGAAAAAACATGAGCATGAAAATTATAAAACCTGATGAAAGAAAGGAAAAACAAAAACGAATATGGAAAAACATATTTTCAACTCTTCCAGTCTCTAGCTCCCCCGGCAGCTCATAAAGTTAGTATAACCAACTATCGTTTGGGGGCCACTTCCATACCATTTGTCGCTGGGTAGACCCTACAGACCCCCTAAATTTAACATGGAATCCATATTTACAGGCATGTTCCAATTCTGGAAATCCATCTTCTATTTTCTTGGGGTTTGATGTTGAATTTAGCGGGTGTATCTTGTTAGTGATAGAGCTATTCTACTCCCACTATATCTTCATTTTAGATCGTTGCACCCCTCTGTTGTTGCTTAATTGGTGGTACAAACGGTGACCAATACTTTTCTAAGTTTGTTTACAACTGGGCAAAGTGTTGGACATATCGAACTGGATGCATTTCTAGGATCACAAATCTTGGCCCACTTTGTATCCTCAATTTAGAGGCATTGATTCTCAAGTTCTGAATAACCATTCCACACCAAGTCTTCGTGCCATATTTTGCTGAAGATCTTCCGACCCGAGTCGATGCCGAGATGCCGAGGCCTCCATCTTGAGACGCCTTGAGGTGGGGCCCAAGTCGAGTCTCTTCTCCGGAGCGCGCTTCTCCAGTGGACCCGTCCAGGCGACATGGCCACAGAAAGATACCGAGATACCGAGAAACCGAGAAACATGCAACTTTCAATGAGACACTATGGAAGAATAATGAAGAATATATGGATCATTTGCATTCTCCCCATATCCACGTCAAAAAATCATTGTGCAGACACCATATTTCAATATATTTCAAGCAATATGAATGGTACAAGGTGGTGCCCCCTAGTTACAATCGCCACAATCCATATATGGGGCACCACCTTGTCGGGTAAGGGGCGTCAATGATGGGATTTGGATTGGGGTAACTCTGCCAAAATGGCTAAACAGAGAGGGTTACTGAATACCTATTGATTCAACCAGAGGAGTGAGCAGAATTGATTTATATAGCAGATAGATAGATAGATAGATTAGATTAGATTAGATTAGGTTAGATTAGATTAGATTAGATGAGATGAGATGAGATGAGATTAGATTCGATTAGATTAAATAGATATGATAGGATAGGATAGGATAGGAAGATAGGAGATTGGAAGATAGGTAGATAGATAGATAGACAGATAGACAGATAGATAGCCAAGAGCTTGAGACTGAGTTTCAGAACATTGTCATCGATCCCACCGAAGCTGTCATTGTTTCACAGAAGTTGTCATTGGTTTCACGGCGTTGCCATCCGTTTCACCAAAGGTGTCACTTTACAAGCCTCCTAAACACGCTTGTGCTCAACTGCTGGAGAATGGAGTTCATGTCATTGAAGCTCTCAATGGTACTCCCGATATATAGCTACACAGATATAGGTCACCGCTATCAGTCTATATTTTCGCCGCTTCCTGTGTTCATTTTAAAGGTTCCTTTTAAGATTCCCCAACATGGAGTTGTTTTCAAATGAGCGGTCGTAAACATTGCAGTTTGTCATGGGAAAACGCATGACCATGGCATTCTGGGTGGGATGCGAAAGATGTTTCAATCACATCTAATTCATGTGGTAAACTCACCTGTGGATTGTATATATCCCTTACCCGACTACCCAATTTTGCGAGTTGGGGGTATTTAACACCACACCTCCCAAAAGGGGTGTTGATCATCGGGTTAGCCCCATGTCAAGCGTATTGTATTTGATCAGACGTACGCACATATATGTATGTGTCTATATATGTTTTTATGCACATTCACACTTATATGTACATGTCGGTATGAACAAGCAAACACATCCACGACGACAAAAACACACAGCAACATGTAGCATGTCACATGTTCCATGCCGATCAAATCCCGCTCCCAGGTGAGCTTCACTGACGAGGAGACCAAGGACACCAAGAAATCAGAGCACCTCGACAAACACCACAGCTGTCGATGGCGCGGCCAAAACACATGCTTTTGTCGCAGATTTTTGTGTCTCCAAGGCATGTGGGACACCTAAAAGGCTGAGTGTTGTAAACAACTGAAAATTCAACCCAGGATGTTCATATTTCACCATCAATGCGTGACATTCGTGTAGGTTTTCACGGTGCGCGGATTTGTGACTGAAGATCTTGAAGTATGAATGGGGGCTGTAAGGCAATATTTTGCAACTTCTTTGGCTTTTCAAATCCAATTTTTGGTGTTTGTGAGAATGGTTCGCGCTCCCAGCAGTTATTGTGCCTACCCAGGACCTAGTCATATTGGTTGTTATCCATCCCAGATATCCCCATAAAGTGGTTGGTTATAAATACCCATTGTTTGTTTGTCATTGATATCCCCATGGGGACCTATCCTACCGCCCATCAAACCCATCTAGGGGACCTATCCGTCTCGGTAATCAGCCATGGCAATGGAAAATCCACCAGTTCGATGATTGTCCCTATATATACACATATACACATACACACACACAGATATAATTAGATATAGATATGGATTTCCCAGCTAGCCATGTTTGATTATCGGAGGGTTTCAGGTGGGCATGGGATTGTTTTTCGAGTTTTTGATGTCACGAATCCTGACCTGAAAAGCGGTGCTTTTCCAAAGGTATCAGTCGCCAATTATGGTGAGCCCGAGGGAAGAGCCGGTTTCCAAAGAAACTTTGGCAGAGATTGGAGTCGTTGGTGAGGTGGTTGCTTCGTGTGGCATGGATTTTGCCAACCTTCATACAGTTACACAAAAAGTAAAATCCCAACCTGAAACACGATTCTAATTATATGATGTTATATAGATCGTTTTTTAATATATATATATTGATGTAATCTTATAGTAATATCATGAGTGAGTTTTTGACATTTGCGCACGTTTTCTGCATCTAAAGACGGGGTAGTTCTCCCTAAGGAGCCTGCCGAGCTTGCAGCGCCTGCGCCGCCCGCGCATGGACCAACCTTCAAGGGAGAGGAGCGGATCTCGGCCCTTTCGACGCCATCCAGGGGGGTGAGTCATTCCTCCGCAGGCAGGAGACGGTGATGCCAGGTGGGAGGTTGGACTAGTTTGGATAAAATGGATGAATATTTTTTGGAGATTCGTTGCTAGATTTTTTTGGGGTGTGAGTTGTTGGAAGGATGAACATGATGGATTTTTACGGCGTGATGTGCTGGGATGGTAAAGTTTCATGGTTGTGAGGAAAGGATCGAAATTTGAATGAAGCACAAGAAACGGGCAATGATGGAAGAAACAAAGGGATTAAAAGCAGCAAAGACTTGGGAAATGCAGATGCAACCGATCACTATTCACAAACGTTCGCTTCAAAAAACAACGAAGTCATAGCTTCAAAATCGGAAGGGAAGTTGCAACATGTTGGGTAGACGGGGGGGGGGTTGCCCCGTTTTTACTCGGTTGCTTTGGGGGGAGACCAAGTGGCTGAATCCACGGCTCTGCTGAAAAAAAACAGCTGAGACGAAACAATAAGCTTGCAGGCCTCTCCTTGAAAACTGCGCACGTGGATGGTTTGTCAGCACTATACATTCACAAGAACTTAGGCCTGGAAGCGACAATGACGGCTTTTGCTCAGTTCATTGCCAACATGACTGACCAAGTCAGTCATGTCAAGTGTTTTGAAGATGCCTCGTGGATGACGTGAAAAGTGAAAAAAGCTCAAAATGCCAACGTATCGCCCCCACAAACCCCTGTAAGGGTTGCTCCGAACTTCCATTTTTTTGAAAAATTGAAAGTTATGTTGACACCGCGAAGCAGAACTGACATCCATTGCACATCACAGACACCTGTGAAAGTGGCCATTTCGCCACAACGAAACGCTCATTTTTGATCATGTGCACTGTGCATTTGACAAACAAACGAAAAAGACGGGTGAAAGTGGGGCGTTTGCCCCCCCGTCAACCCAACATGTTGCAACCAAAGTCCCTGCAGAGACCAGTGGTGGGATGATATCGCCGTTCCCAGGTCCTCCGGGTCGAAGCTCCAGAACTTCCAGGACATCTGCCAGCTCCAGCGCTTTTGGAGGAGCTTGGGGCAGCCTTTCCAGCTATGTTTGGGAGGATGGCAACAAATTCCGGGAGAAAGCAAAGATGTGACCTGGAAAGCATGGAACAAACATTGGTTGAGCAAGTTTTCTTTTCTTGGGGGTGGGGAGGGGGCAGCGGCTTCTCACAAAATGAGTCCAATTATTCTGCCCGCCCGTGGAATCTTCAAAAATGTGCTTAAGTGACTGGTTCTGGCCATTTGGCTGGCTTGACGAACTGAACCTTCCGCATTTTTTTTGCCTTTAGCCGACTTTAGCCTTTGGACCCCTGTGGTAATCAAACATGGTAACCGAAGATCGCAATTTCTGAATTGGGAAATCGTCTATAGATTGCTTTTTCGCCCAAGGCAAGCCGTGCGCCTGCGCGCCAGCCGTGGCGAATCTTTGCGGGGCACAGCGAAAAGAGCAATGCCTTGCATGTTGTGGTCCAACCATGTGGTTTCATCCCCATGGTTCACCAATGGCATTATGCTACTCATCCTGATGCTTGGACAGTCACTTAGGTTTACTTCACAATTCTTTTTTCCCTAGCCCCCTTGCTGCGTGTGTGGCTGACCTTGTTTCTGGGCCCACGTGGGCAAATCCGAGAAATCTTGACTGAAATGCTATGAACAGAAAGACACCAAAGCTGAGTGATATCAAATGATCTCTCTAGGCATCCAAAATCACAATTTATTTGAACCTCCCATGAACTGCCAGTTTTCTTCACCAGTTTTCGGTTTCGAGGATCAACGTGGTGCTGCTTGGTGTGGAAGTTGACATGGCGGCAGGCCTCGGGATGCAGGAAGTGCCGGGATGGCTCAGCGTGGCCAATGCCTCCTTCGTGGCCATTTTCCTGTCTCCTGCTGAAAAACATCGCCCCCAAAAGATGGAGAATTGCTGCGAAATTACGAGCCCTATCACATAGTAATCAAGTAAATTCCTGTCCCTCTCTCATCTCTCATGTCTCTCTCTATGTTTATCATGTATAACACACAAATGCATATACATATACATACACACACACACATTAATATATAGACACACATATATATATATATACATACATACATACATACATACATACATACATACATACATACATATACATGTACATATACATACATACATACATGCATGCACGCATGCATGCATGCATGCATGCATGCGTGCATGCATATCTACATATATACATTCACACACACACATATATATATATAGATGTTATATACTTGCACAGACATATATATATATTATATGTATGTATGTATTTCTATATACAAAAATACACATATCTATATAGCTATATGTATATTATATAAATGTTGGGGTGAGTTTACTCTAATGTACCACAAATGGAGTGCAACAATTACAAAAACATATGGCTTTTATCCAAGGGTCTGGAAAACAATCCTTTAGACGCCGTTTTTGGGGTTCCATGTGAAATTTTGCAACCAGGAAAAAAAACGTGCTTGAATTCCTCCAAATGAGGACCAGAATGGCTATATCCAACACAACACAATTTGTTCGGGTATCCGGTATTTTCGGGAGGCATTTGATGAGCAATTTCGAGGATAAGGATAACACTAGTTGGTTGTTGTTCGGAACTTCTTGACCGCGGCGACAAGCCAGTGATATAAAAAGAGAGTTTCTCACATGGTTTTCGATAGTTCCGTGCGTACCAAGGGGGATAATAATCCTGCAAACTTGGCCAAACAGCCGGGGAACTGGGGCGATATGACCCGCTAACAAGTGGGAATTCGGCCTCCTGGCATTCTGTGTTCTGAGGGAGCAAGTGAAGCCCTCAACCAGTAGCTTCATCCGGCCATTCATGGCTGGAACATCCTCCATTTCGAGATGATTTTCCCATATTTTCCCTATGCCCCAGCCATGAGGGGATTGCCCCAGCCATGCTGGATGACCCACTTAAAGATCATCCTATCGCGGCGGCAACGTTTTGTTCCCTTCACCGGGTACTGGTTTCGCAATCAGGAGTTTGATTGCGGATACGCAATGGGTTTGCAGCCTTGATTTTATTGATATATTGCAAAGCTCGTGATGTTGCTGGTTGATTTTGGGACTCTGCAGACTCCGACGACTGGATGTTGCCAGTTAGTGTTCGACAACTTTGATCAGTAGATAGCAGTAGATAATTGTGGACATTATGTTTATTGAATCAGTCATCCCCGTCATTCTTCTGTGTGTTTTGATTGGTTCCAACGTTGGAAAAAACCATTGAAACTATCAACTGGGTAAACCTTGGTGAATGCTACCGCTACCGATCATCACACATGCCAATGGGAAGTCCCTGGTTCATAGATTCATAGATGAAATTTCCATTTTATAGGAGATTTCGGATTGCCATCTTTAATTACCAAAGGGTGAGCTACTTTGCTGGGTCAATTTTTTAGTCAGCTCAAGAAATCGTCCTTCCCGCGCTTAGTATCTAAGATCAAGCACGATTGTATGAGAAGTTGGCAGGCTTGAAAAATGTGTTGTTTTGTCCCCGCAACTCTGTTGTTGGGAGCTGCAAGTTTAAATGCTTGCATGGATGATGATGATTCACTGATTCACCGCCTTGAAACCCCGAAAATCCGGTGGTTCATCATAATCTGCTGTGTGTTTGCTCTCTTCCAAGAAGGTTGGAACCATGCTTATTGCTTGTGGGAATGATTTTATACTACTTGCCATTTCTTATCATCGTCTTCATATTGAATTCACATTAAATCCCCATTTTTGTTGGCTCACGGATAGAACATGATACTTTATATACAGATTGGTGAATCGTTATAACTTCTTATCCGTGATATCCATTCTTTATCTCATTATCAATCCCATTATTAATCCAGATTTATGGGTATGCTATGCCTCCCATTTTCAGACCCCTCCCAACCCAACCTCAGGTTGGAGCTAATCCTGCGCTATTCTGCAGTGGGCTGGAGCGGCTTCTGGTGTGGAGAGGCTCCAAGGGGCTGGGTGCTCAAAGTTTTCTAGAACACCTCAAAGTTGGATGACTTGATACTGAAACTGATTAATTCATATTAATTCATTCAACAATGATGGAGCTATGGCCAAATAGCCAGAGTTGGGTTGGTTCCCGATTCTCGGACCGACCCAAGTGTCGTCAGACGGTGGAGGTGTGAACATGCAACAAATAGAGAGTTGACTGCCAGAAATGGTGGTTCAACGCGCTTCAAAGCATCAGCAAAAAAGGTTGGAACTTAGCAAGATGGGAATTTCACTATCCAACTAGGGATTTTGCCATGATTTTGCTAGGAAAAAAGGGTGTGAACGGAAAACACCGGGTTTTCACCATCAAGAATTTGGATACTCATATAACCTGATAGTTCTTAGGTTTTGCCAGACGGTTGCATGGATGGATGGATGGACCCGGACACCTATTGTAATCACTCAAGTAGATTGATGCACCCATGCCCCGCCAAACACACAGATACATGGGATTGTTCATTTATTGATTATTGAATTCATAAATCTATTCGTCTTATTCATTCACACACTTGTGTGTTTTGTATCTTTTGTTGGTTTTGTCAGGTTTGTTTGCTTGTTTTCTTTTGTCTGCCTGTTTTGTTTTGTTTTTTTATTTGTGTGTTTTCTTGTGTTTGCTTGTTCTGTTTCGTTTGCTTGTTAGTTTGTTAGTTTGTTTTTATGCTCGCTTTTTTTGCTTGTTTGCTTCTTCGGTTAAAGGGTTTCATTGTCTTCATATTTATTGTATGCATGTACTGTTGAATGTTCGCAAGCATGTGCGCAATTTGTGTTTGCCAGCAATTGGAGCCGTCGAATGCGTGGCCTCCAAAGCCATTGATTTCCAATGTTGTTGTGCGACAGCCAGCCTTTGAATTGTGGAATATGCTGCGATTTTCATGGAACTGATGCCACCGGAGAATCACATTGCGAACCAATTGTGAAAAGGGATTTGTATCCAATTTTTCCGCCACAGATGCGTGTGGATGCGTCGCTTGTGTGGAGGATTCATCTTGGAATATTTTCGACTTCATTGTCATCGCAGTTTCAGTGATCGATGTTTGTGCCGTGTTTTGCACTATGTTCGACTCCTACATACTCGTACCCCCCCAACAAGGAACATCCAAGACATGGGTTTTGGACGATCTCAAGAACTATCACTTTCTACATAAGTGGAAATGGTAATCTTTGTAGGGAATTTTGCGGTGCATTCTTAAGGCAATCTTTCCTGTGTCTACCGAGACGCAGCGACATGTGTTGGAGCTATGGCCAACCCAGGATTTAGGAAGCGCCAGTTGATGAGTGCAGGGGGTCCCCCAGATTTTTGATAATTTCAATTATGGAATTCGACGTATATTCGACGTGAAGCAGCTGGGTTTGTATTGCTCCAAGTTTGAGCTTCACTTCTTCTTGAACACAGGCTATTTCTCCAGGTGAATTTTCGGGAGGCTATCCCCCATGTGTCGGACACCAAAACTTATTCCCCATTCAACTATCAATTTCATCGCAGGGTGGTGCGCCATAGTTAGCCAAGTAAGTTTACCACTCCAATAACTGGGTTTACGGGGGTTCTATCGAGCTAGTTCACGGTGTAAACCAAGGGGTACCACCGTGTGTAAAGTGTTGATTTTTCACCAGTTGACTCAAAGCACTAGTTGTCGATTAATTCAATGACCTCAATATTTTATCTCGTCAACCACTTGAGCCATAGGTAAATCATCGAACTAAATTGGCCGTCCATGTACGTATACATATGCATATATATATATACATATATACATATATATACATATAGATACATATAGATACATATACATATATATATATACATATACATGTACATGTACATATACAGATACATATACATATACACATGCATATGCATATGCATATGCATACACATACATACATACATACATACATACATATATATATACACATGCATATATACATACGATAGCCATGTAACACATTACCGGAAGCTAACCACGCGTTGATCTAGGTCTGGGTCCCCAGTCCCAGTCATCAGCAAGCCAGGGGGGTATATAACATCCTATCAATTCCCACTATATTCCCCAGTATATATATATGTATATATATATATATTCCCATTGTCAACTGATTACCATTAACTTATTCCACCACAAATGGTTGCAAAAAAGGTCTAGATATACTATATATATATACATATATATATATAGAGTTGATATCATTATATCCGATCTGGATATCTCTTGATCCCATAGTCTTAATAATATATCTCATCTTTACCACCATTATGTTCCAATTATGTTAAGCATCATGTAATCATTGTTAACCATGATATTCCCATTATGTTGATGAATATGTAAACCATTTTATTCCCATTATATGAACTATAAGATATGAATAATTCACCACGATTGTGACCACTGGTCTGCTGGTTCATATCATCAAAATTAACCATTATCAGTAACCATCACATATTAACCAGAGAAATTCACCGCTATTATGAATGAAGCGGGTGATCCCAGGTCTGGATTATCTGGCGGTGATTTTGTCCTCTTCGGTCAACACCGGGCAACTCCGCCTGGTGCGTTCCATCCGGCTGGCGCGCGCCTTGCGGGGCATCCGCATCGTGTGGCTCTTCGAATATGTGGGCGCCTTAAGGACCTTGGCGCTGTCCATCGTCAGTACCTGGGTGATACAAAGGGGGGTAAGGGGGCTCCTTGGGTTAATAAAGTTGGGTTGAGTTGGAGTTGGAGTTGAGATTTCGAGGTTAGCGACTGGGTTGGGGTTGGACAAATGAGTTTTGAGACGTGTGGATATCCAGACAGATTCTTTTGCGGTATCTAAGTAAGGTTAGATTGGCCATGATAATTGGGGAGGCAAGTATGATGAGTTCGGAGCAACAAGCATGAGTGATTCTACCCACATAGAGTTCGGGCTGAAACCAACTAAAATCTTTGGTATCCACCACCCAACCATTTCTAGGGGATGATATTTCGGTGGCAGTTCTACATCAGATACCCTTTGGTAAACTAACATAGCTATGGAAAATCACCATCATTAATAGGTAAATCAACTATAAATGGGCCATGTTCAATAGCTATATATATGTTAAATTACCAGAGGGTAACAGAACAGCTTGAAAAACCAGGAACTCAATGGAGGTTTCTCACTGGGAACATCATCGAAATGAATCTGGGGTAAGCCATTAACAACTTGTTAATAGTGTAATAGTAATGTTGGATCCTGATTAGTGTAGGTCCCCCCTTGAGCAATTCTGAGAGTCTCTTTAATGTTTTTTTTTTTTTTAAAGTAACGAGCCACAATACCGACCCACCACACTAATCGGGATACTACATTATAGTATGCCCTCCGGTAATCAAACATGGCTTGCTGGAAAATTCATCATTTAGTTTGATGATGATTCAAGAACATCCCAATGTATAGGCTGTATAGGGGATTTCCCATTGCTATGTTTGATCGCACAGAAAGGTTGAGCATCGTCTTTGGTGATTCTTCTCAATTACTATCATTTCATATCCACTTATTCCCAATGTTTCTCAATTTTCGGTCAAAACCCCCCAATACATGGGATTTTTCCCAGCTGTAGACCTCCATTTATACGGAATGTTCATCCGTATCAGCCATGTTTGATTAACCAAGTTTGCCAAGTTTGCCAAGCCTGATGAGGCACCTCTGGGTCTCTCTTCTGGACCATCGCCGCTTGGCCTTTGTTATGGGGGGCGATGATTCGGACGATTGGGGATCTCAATGGGATCTCAATGGGATCTCAATGGATCATTTATGGGACATTTATGGGGCTATCGATTTTTCCCATGGGATCTACAACCCACTTTTTGCATCTTTGTGTCCTCTTCACACATTCGTTGGTTGCACTTAAAAAAGGTCGGCCCCCGTTGAACACTGCTGGGTTTCCGGCGAGCGTTGAATCAATTTCGATGGCTGTAGTTGATTAAGCAAGGCTTAGGCCCTTGCTAATGGGATAGAGATTGTTGCCCATGATAGCAATTCCTGCAACAATGGTGGTGGACGCATAGAAATCTTTTTCCCACTGGCTAGTTGGTTCACAGATGGGATGAAGTTGAATGCGGGCGAATGGATCTTGATTTTGTCCCAACCTTTGATTCACTTAGCTCAACATCCTGACTGCCAAACAGCACATTCCTGGATCATCATTGATGGTCGGTCTCGTTTCATCTCACTTTTTGATTGTAGATTCATGATGCGCTATTTACACTGCAATTGTTCCAGACCAATTTGACCACTCGCTCCCAGAATTCACCAACACTTGAACATCAAAGCCGCAGTGTGTACACCCATGTTATATTCACACCAATGATTTGCAGTAAAACTTCCCTTTTAACCTCCCCATCCAGGTGATTCTCGTCATCCTGGTCTATTCCTTTGGGGTTGTGACCACCCAGCTGGTCATTGAGCACTGCCGCGATCTGGCGGTGGAGGCTCTCCAGGACGCTTTTTCTTCAGGGATCAGATGGATGTCCATGGCGTATCCGAAGGATTTGCAACCATGTTCATTTGCAATCATTTGCAGACACCCAGAGTTGCTCGAGTCAATTTATATCACTTTTTCGGCACCAAAGGTGAGGTTTCTTGAACTGGGCACCTCCCCCAAAAAAAAAACAACGGCCCCTCATGGGGGAGTGATTTTTGCTCAAAAAATGGTCAAAAATACTGGTATTTACAGTGTTTTGTGACTAGAAGGGGCTTAAAACCGTTATTTTAGAGCAAAAATCACTCCCCCAACATGTTTCCCTTCATGATCATGGCAGGCAGGCCCTTATTGCAACTTCCAGGCCTGATGGTCTACTATACACAAAATCTTAGTATACCATATATCTATGTTTGGTTCTCTCTCACTTCATGGACTTCATCACTTTCATCACCTTCATGGACTTCATAACCTTCATCGCTTTCATGACCTTCATTGATCCTGGTTTCATAGTTTTCTTGCCCTTCACTTTGTTGCAAGCATACGGTTTGGTTGCTCCTTTGCCCTTGTAGACCTTGTACTGGTTGAGGTGGTACGTGTCACCGCAAGCTACCAGATCATTGTGCTGTTTGCAGAACAAGAGTACTGCAAATCGATGCCGAAGGGGACGCATGTCATTCAAGACTTTGCTGTATCCTCTAAACCAAGAAAAGGTTTGCTCAGCTATGGAGGTGTTCAAGTTCTTGATGCGTTTCTTGAGGCGGGTCTTGGATCGGGGGTTGCATGGGCAATTCTTGGTGTGACCATAAGAGTGGAACCTGTCCAAACTAAAGTACTTCAGCTGCTCCAGTCCTGGTGTCTTGACAGCCGATGGCATGTAGTGGCAGGCTCGGTCCATGACAAGGAGATCAATGTTGGGGTACTGGGGCAAGATTTTCAGCAAGGACTGTGTGACAACTTTGTTTCCTTCAGGTTCATCTTGACTAGTGACTCCAAGGATTCGGCCTGAGACTGGGTCAACCACCATGAACCAACCATGACCATGACCACGTTTTTGATTGCCATCATCACGGGGTCGACCAACGCGATTCTTGTTTGTTGGAGTTTGGTTTCCACACGTTTTCACTAAGACTTTGTGATGACCATCTGCAACCACACCGCTGACTTTCTTGGGGCGCAAGGGAGGTAGGAGATGTTCATGGCAATGAGCATCATATGTCATCAAGGTGCTTTCGTCGATTTCTTTCCCAATAACTATGCTTGTGTGTTTGCCAAGCACTTCCCATTCCAAACCCACCATGTAGTAGAAGAGCCCATCATAGTAGAGTTCTCGGAACTTTGTGTGGAGAGGAGGGGTCTCATCAGCAAGATTGTCGAAGAAGGTTTGTTCATATGCAAAGTGAACTCCCCTACCAGTGCTGCAACATCTAAAGAACAAGTAGGCATGGTACTTCAAGAACCTGATTGTGAAGCCAACCTTCATGTTGATGAACAAAACTTCGTCCAAGGCCATGTCCGAGATCTTGGTTGTGTTGATCAATTGCCCATCGCGGTTGCGGAAGTTTGGTCCATAGATCATTTTGCACTGAGGGCACCTTTTTGTTTCTACCACTACCTCATTCCTCCCAATGAGATCGAAGGAGACAGCTGAGATTGTATGATGAGGAGCCATTTTCCACGAAGAACCACAGGTACAGAATGACAAGGGACTCGTGTGCATAGGCTTCTCCGACATTTGGGTGGCTGGACGTTTCTTAACAAGCATTGTGAAAGCACCCTACGGAAACTACACCAGGACAAACTGCTACGGAATTAAATACAGAAATTTGCTGAGTTTGCCGCAAGTTGCAATGCACAGTCATGCGTTATACTAGCAAAGCAGGCAACACAGCACACTAGCAGAAAAGAAAAGCTACGCATACGCATTCTATTTTCCTGTGTTTGGGTCGGGAAGTGTTCAGGCATGTAGTGTTCAAAACCGCCGGACTTACATCTGTATACTTTGACCTAAGAAAGCCCACTCAGAAGAGCTCAGGAGGAATCACCACCATCTACACCATAACCATGGTTGAAGACATCCTCTTCATTCTCAATCATTTCCATGCCTGCAATCTCCAAGGGGGGATTGGTGGGAGGTTCATCCTCATCTTCAGACACTAGATCAATGAGGCCATAGTTCATTGGTCTGGTTGCGGTTGCGTGAGTTTCCTCCTTGATAGCGGGCAAGGATTCTGGGACCTTTCTTGCCTTCTTGGGAGGGGACATGTCCAAGTCAATGCAAGCACCAGGGATGCCATCACGCAAAGTCTGGCGAAAGAAGGAGCTTTCTCGTTTGATGGCTGGTGCGGGGCCAGATTCTTCAAGATGAACTTGGATAGAAACATTGGTCTTGCCTGAGAAAGGAGAAGTGATGGAAGTTTCTGTGGGCATAGGCGGTTTGTTTTCACCTTTGTTGTCCATGATGCTCCTCATCCAGGCTTCTTCCCACTGAAGATGTTTGTGATGGTCTTCAGAAAGATCAAGGTTTCCTTTCCTATAGGCCATGTACTTCACCCCACCAGACCTACGAAGCAAGGACTTGGCATCATTGAGCTTGATACATTCTACACAAACCTCTGCCTCTGTAGCAGGCCTGTAGTAGATGAAATTGTCTGTGATGATGATGATGATGCAAGTTCGTTTGAGCACAGCCTTGATGTCACTCAAACAAGACCCTTTCATCCAAGCTGGCTCAAGCATCTGCATGAATTGAATGTGGGTGATCACCATGGATCTACCGGATGGTTCGGCGCTAAGATCAACATCATTGGAGATGTAAAGGCGGGGTTGGCCCTGGGGGAACTTTGCAGCACCCCACCGCTCTTTGGTGAGGACTGTGTTTCCTACATCGCAAAAGCCCTTCAACTTTCTCATGGGTTGTTCTGGCAATGACCCATCATCAAAAATGTCTGGACGCTCTGGACGACCAGCCTCACCTCTAAAGAAATCAAATTCACTGGCTTCACGGAATCCTGGGATATGGTTGGATTTCAACTTTCGGATCCAGTACCTAGACATTGCCATAGCAATAGTTCTACCCAAGGGTGTTTTTCCGACATTTGGGACTCCATGCATACCAAGAGCTTTGTCAGTGAAAGAAGGGAAGAGCTTCTCCAAGATCATCAGGACTCCAGGCTCAACATCAACCAAGGTAAGAGGAAAGTCATGAACAGGTAAGGCCAAAACACCATCATTCATGAGGTTGCGCAAGGCCTCTTTGATCAGACGTTCCGGCCATTTGCTAACTGGGCTGTCCTCTGAAATAAACTGCTTTGAGATCCAACGCAACCTTACTAGCGGGTTCCCTTTCAAACAAATGTGGGGTTATAAAGGCGGTTCAAAAACATGAAAGTTGAAAGTGTAGCCTGGTAATTTACCACTTTGAACATCTTGGAACTGATTTTTAACAAGTGTCCTTAGCAACCCGTTTTTTATCGAAAAAACAGTGTCTCCAGGACACTTGTTGTAAGTCAAGAAAAACCAGTTAAGACAAAAAGGCCAAATCCAAAACTAAGTGAAAAATGTCAGTTTAGCTATTGGATAGGTAAGCAACTGTGTGTTGCTGTGGTGGGTGCGGGGACCATGTTTTTCGATGTAGTCGAAGCCTGCATCGATATCATCATCATTAAGCCCAGTGTAGAAGTTCACCTTGCCCTCTGCGCTGTTTCCACCTGCTGGTTGAAGGGAATACATTTGGACTTGAAAACCTCCCATTTTTTCCATCATGTAGTGGAGTGCCTTTTTGGTGTTTTTCGCATTGCCATGCCACATCACTCCATGACATTCACCATAACAAAGGGACTTGACGAAGTCGGTCTTGACAAGACAAGGGAAGATCACATGCTTCAAGACAAAGTGCTTTCGATTCGGAGCAGGCAATGCGACAAGTTGATATTCAAACTGCATACCCGGCGAGTTTTTCAGGCAAAAGGGTTCTGGCAAGTCATGAAACCTACCTTCCACGCAAGCGTTTGTGACCTCATTGCGCTTTGCCTCAGGGAAATCTACCTCACCAATCACATCAAAGACATGCTTGACTTTCGCATCATCCTTCACAATCTCCAAGGGCAAGTCTGATGGTTTTACAACCCCGGGTGGTAACTCCACCACATTAGGTTTGCTCAGACTCCGGAGATACAGCGCATTGGTTGCGTTGAGGGCATGTTCAAGGGAAATTTCGGAGCTATCCATCATAGTTGCTAGTTCTACTACTTCCTATTTCCTAGCTAGCCTTGATTGGAACAGCTGCTCACCAAGGCACTCCGAACGCTGCGGACGTTAAGTCCGAACATTATATTCAAAGTCATTCCGAACTATTCGGAAAGCTTGCCCCAAAAGCGAAGTTAGCTCAATGTTTCCAAAACATTGGCAGGCACCAAAAAAACCAAAAAAACCAAAGTGAAAGTTGAGGAAACATCGACAGGCACCAAAAAAAACAAAAAAACTAAAATTTCCAGGAACTATGGGCCCACTTCTGGGTAGTTGCTGGAAATTTTGTTTTTTTTTGGTTTTTTTGGTGCCTGTGCAGGTTTGGTGCATCTAGTGGTTTGTTTTTTTTGGTTTTTTTGGTGCCTGTCAATGTTTTGTGAAGTCAGAGTCACCAAAGCTGCACAGGCACCAAAAAAACCAAAAAAACCAAAGTGAAAGTTGAGGAAACATCGACAGGCACCAAAAAAAACAAAAAAAACAAAATTTCCAGGAACTATGGACCCACTTCTGGGTAGTTGCTGGAAATTTTGTTTTTTTTGTTTTTTTTGGTGCCTGTGCAGGTTTGGTGCATCTAGTGGTTTGGTTTTTTTGTTTTTTTTGGTGCCTGTCAATGTTTTGTGAAGTCAGAGTCACCAAACCTGCACAGGCACCAAAAAAACCAAAAAAACCAAAGTGAAAGTTGAGGAAACATCGACAGGCACCAAAAAACCAAAAAAACCAAAATTTCCAGGAACTATGGGCCCACTTCTGGGTAGTTGCTGGAAATTTTGTTTTTTTTGTTTTTTTTGGTGCCTGTGCAGGTTTGGTGCATCTAGTGGTTTGGTTTTTTTGGTTTTTTTGGTGCCTGCCAATGTTTTGTATATGTCACCTCAAGATCATGATGAAAAAATTGCGTTTTACTAGGGTTTTAGACCCTCCAAGTGCATAAAACATCGGTATTTACAGTGTTTTGTCATCATTTTTAATGAAAATTCACTCCCCCACGGGGTGCCGCCCTCTTATAATATGGGTGATTATGATGGGATGATTATAATGGGATGATTATGATGGGATTATTAAAATGGGGTGATTTTAATGGGATGATTCATACCTGGGCTGCTTACTTGTTAGTTCACTTCTAATGGGCTGATTCAACTGGGATATTATCCTGGGGGCTGCTGATCCTGGGCTGTTCCCCTGGCTCTTCTCCTGGCAGTGCTTTCTCCTCACGCCTGCTTCTCCTGGGCTCCATGGGCCTCCTTCATCCTGGCTGCTAGCTGGAGCTGCTACCCCCTCTGGCTGCTTCCTACCGGGCTGCTTCTCCCTAGGGCTGCTTCCCTGGGCACTTCTTCTCCTCTGTCTGATTCCCTGCCTGACATGCCGTTCTCCTTTAGTTCTTCACCTGAGCGCCGATGCTAGGTGGATGATGATAATGGATGCGTACTAATGGGCTCTTTCCCGGGGCCGGCTTCTCCTTGTGCTGCTTGTCCTGGGGTGCTACCTCCTGGGCTCTTCCTCCTGGGCGCTTCTCCTCGTCTGCTTCTCCTGGGATTATTCTCGCCGGGACTGATGGATGGTGCTCCTCCTGGGCCCTTGCTTCCTGGCTGCTTCCTCCCTGGGCTGCTTCTCCCCTGGGCTGCTTCTCCTTTCACTTTCTTCCCCCTGGTCTGAATGCTCCAATGGGATTTCCATTCTTTACAGTGTTGATTTGCAAAAAACTGATGACCTGAGGGTATCACAACCGTGCACCGCAATTGCGGCTGTTTGATACCACGCCATTGTAACGATTATAATACGAGTATGCTGAATATCTACAAAATGCTATACCGTTGACATCAATGTGGGTAACACAATAATAAACAATCCCCAAGTCATCACCATTTTTATAGGTGGTATGTTTACCATTCCCAAATGGGTGGTTTATGACATTGTTTCACCCACATTAATACTATTCGTCTAATATACCCCCTGGTAAACTAACATAGCTATTGAACATGGCCATTCACTTCGTGGAATTAGCCATCAAAAATGGTGATGTTCCATAGTGTTTTGTATGTTTACCAGAGGGCAATGGATTTAATGTGATTTACATAAGCAACAAATATGGGGATATAACAAACCATATCATTCATGTATCTACTGAATTAATCCTATTCTACTACGAAAAAACCATAGTTATGTGAGTTCTCCATTGATTATCCACCATCCACCATCATTAACATGAACTATTATGAACAATTGATCATCATCCACCAGATATCGATACAGTGGATGGGCCAGCGAAATCCTGCATCACCATGATTGGATGGTTGAAAGCCTATTAATCATGGGATGTTTGCCACGCCTAATGGGCTGTTTGCCACCTATCAGCTGGTGCAGGATTTCGATAAACCATCCTGGTTGGTGGTGCAATAACCATCTTGAAAAATATGAGGTTGTCAATGGGAAGGATGACATCCCATATATGAAATGGAAAACATGTTTGAAACCACCAACCAGCATTATTTGATATACCCTCTGGTAAACGTTTACATAACGAACTGGAAAATCACCATTTTGTAGCTGGGGAAATCAACGATTTCTCTATGGCCATGGCTTCAAGTTCGCAAACTGTAAACGTTTACCAGAGGGTATATCCCATTAATAGTCCATTAAATTATTATAAAATTCTTTAAAAAAAATTATAAATTAATGATTTAATCACTATAAATCCCATTAAATCACTATAAACACCGTGGCGCCATCGCGAGCTCCGCGCCTTGTTGCCGAACTTCTGCCGCTCCGCCGAGGCGCCCACCACGGCGAAGCCGTTGGGCGCCGCCAAAAAGTGCCCCACTTTGCCGGCCGCGGAGGCTGTGGCCTGGTGGAAGCCATGGGAAAACCATGGGAAAACCAGGGGAAAACCAGAAGAAAACCATGAATTCAGCTAAAATTCGGATGTTTCGGAAATGTCGAGTTATCATTCGGATTCTTTCTGGAATTATTTTGGAAGTACTGGCCATCCTCATCCGTTTATGGCCACGGTTTTTCTGCCTGAGGTCGCACGCTCGAGATGTCGAGATGTCGCCCAAGATGATGCAACCGCTTCATGGCCCGGCGGCGATCGATGATTTTTCAAGTTATAGATTTATCGAAGATCTATGGTGATTTTTCTTTGTTTATTTTCTTGGATATCTATGTACTTAATTTCTACCTAAGTCAACCATGTCGAATGGGTAATGATTAGGACAGATGATGCAGTTCTTTTTGCGCGGGAATTGCTGGGCCATTGGATGACAACGTGTTGTCGTGTTGGGTTCGCATCTACTTTTGTTGTAACATATCTTTTTCCCTCTGGTAATGTGATACAGTTTGCGACATGGAAATTTTGAAGTCACCATTTCTGATGGGTAAATCATCTATACATCGGTCATTTTCAGCCTTTTTCAGAGCAAGTCTAACTCCTCAAACTGGATCTCACCAGTTGAAAGCTGGAGCCGATCGCGATTCGGACTTGCGGAAGAGCCATGGCTGTGTCGAGAAAAGCCTGGAAAAATCCTCCCATTTGCATCCATTTGTAGAACATTTTACAAGGTGGTGCCCCATACTTAGCTAAGTTGGTGCCAGTAACTCCAATAACTTTGGTTTATGGTAGCTGGTTGGTGGTATACCTACCCCTCTGAAAAATATTAGTCAATGGGAAGGATTCTCCCATATATGAAATGGAAAAAAAACATATTCCACCAATCAGGACTATGGTTTATAAACCAACTTGCAACTGGGGGGCACCACCTTGTAGGGAGGATTATCCCAAGAAAACCCTCATTCCGTGGTGACGTCGTGAGGTGGGGCTAATTACCAGTGGTTAAACTCCGGTAAACGTTTACATAACTATGCAACATCAGCATGAATTTTGCAAACCGGTAAATCATCTACTTCAATGCCATGGCTTCCATAGCTAGCTGTTACATCACTATTGGATATATGGAGGTTTACTAAGAGAGTGTTTTTCCCCCAAAGCATTTAGTGGTTTTCCCATGTCTAACGAACCATTTTGGATGATTAAAATGATTTTGGGGTACCCCGTTTATTAAAATACTAATGATTATCAATAGATCAGTCGTTAACAATGACAAATGATCTATTAAAAAAACAGTTTTAATGACTAAGTGACTAAATTCTAAATCAAAGCTCATCCATGAATCTGGGTAAATGAATCCATTTGGCAACGATTCCCCTGAAAACCATGATGAACCAGGCTTCGGGAGAACAGGCTGAGGGGTCGTGATCAAATTTACCAAAATCTATGGGAATCCCATGATCACCCATTATTAACCATCATTAACCAGATAATAACCATATATTAACCATATATTAACCATTTTCAGTAACTTTGTTAAACTACTGAAGCTTCAAGCCTCTCGGTGATCTCTGTCCTCTTGGGCTTGTGACGCCTGCCTCAGGCCCACTTCGACATGACATTTGTGAGCCCGAAACATCCTAGTCATGGAGTGAAAAATGAGGTGAAACCACAAGGAAATGGTGGATTTGACCAACAAATATTGGTATACTATTGGGTCATGGGAATATAGAATGGGAATATTTCCCAACAATAATTCTGATAAATGAAATAATATCACCACCGTGAGCATCAAGGATTCTTGCCACCAACGGACTGGGATAACGGGATATTTTCACATTTGTTTCTCCATCGATGGTAAACATCACCAACATATGCT